GGGGCGAAACGGCTAATGAAGTAGTTCATACCCATGACACCGGAAATGTAACCGGAATCGTAACCGAAAAAGATACCACCAAAGGCAGCAAAGGCACACATCATGTACGCCTTGAACGTCACTGGGGCCTCGATGCGGGCGAGATCAGCAGACTGAGCTTCTGAAAGGTGATGTTCTTCGACATCCTTTGAATTGTGTTCAACGTCAGACATTGTAAAGTTGTGTGGGTAAATTAGGATAAGGAGAGAGGAAAAACACTCGAATCTAGAAGGGAGAAATGGCCCTATTTATATACGAAAATATACAGCTGTGCGAGGGGAAGTGATATTCCACTTAAGATCTGTCTCCGGAAAATATCACATGTACCCCATGGGGGCAGGAGTCTGCGATGACGTGCGCCACTGTATGCATGTACAGCAAGAAAATCCTCATGCACAGGATTTACGGAAGAATTGAGCATACGGTGAGACCTGCCTAAACCCGTGTTTTTGCCTAGAAACTATATGTAAAAAGTTTTTCCTCTTGGACGCTTGCCTCGCGTCGGGTAAGTCTTGGCACGCAGATTAGTCTGGTAATGGTCATGACGTGAGGTAGTTTCAAATCTCTCGCCCTTGGAATGGATCTACATAGTGGTCAGAATCATGCATTTACTGATACCTGTATTGGCCCACTCATAGTTTCGTTGTTAGCGGAACGCTGTTGACTCTGACTTTTCTCCAGTTTTGTCTCCGTTTTAGGTCGCTTGGCTCCTGTCGCTTGCGCACCCCAGGATGAGCCTGCGAAATCCCGTGTTCCTCTGCCCAGACTAGCTTCCTCTGGAAGTGGAAAAATTAGCAGCCACTCTACGGTGGCCTGCATGATGCACCATGGGGGGTTCTTGGCGGGGGTGCATGGCACGGCAAAAATATGTTCCCCCCTTCTGCTCGCACAAGACATGAGCATGGGCCAGTGTTTTGAAAATATAACACGTAATCCTCTCTGACATCAGGTGATCCTACCGGATTTCGAAATGAGCAATTCAAAGATAATATACCTTAAAGGGGACTGTTGTCAGATGTCGCCCTACACGAGCAAGGATAGTGATTGCTACCCGTATGCAGCTGCTGAGGGAGCCGCTCGGCGGATAAAAAAATGTCTATCACATCTTAAAACTCGTCTCCGGTATACGAGATTCCCCGCGTAAACGTAAGAACGATATGCACGACGGAATGACCAAGTGATTGCCGTTCTGGTGCAAATCGCACACTATCACAAGCGAATTTCCGAGGCCTATCTCAGACTAGTGTTATTTAATTCCCCCGCATCCATGCCATCAAGGCCATAGTCCCCCAAAATCTCTGTAGTAGAGGTTACAAAACTAATTATAGGTGGTTTGTGTCTGTATTTCCGCACCCCATCTAGCGTGGGTGAGTTCACCCTACCCCAGCCATGCTGCCAGACTTGACGAGATGCATTCTAGCGGACCTACATGCACCCGTTTCCTTATGCCCGTAGAGAGCGGATTGGTACCTCTAGTGATCGGCACTCCTGTTACTCCCAGTATACCCGGGTAATAGTAACTCCACTCGCATACGCGGACTTTGCATTTGTATGGAAAATAGATGATACAAATGTCAATCTGCGATAATGTGGGTGAGCTAATTCCGGGAAATGGTTGGGTGAAAGTTAAACCTTCGTGGGAGAATGACCGGTCAGCCCTAGTGGCAACGACAACCGACTAAGAAGGTCTACCCTGGTAGACTGCGGTTGTGAACCTTGAATGCCCAGCCCAGCCACAAGGATTGTAGCCTCGTTGTCGCGGTACCCTTGTCTCAAAGGAGAATTTCACGTTAGGCTTCACCGTTCCGGTGCTGCATAAAATCTAGTCTTTTTAGGAATCCCCAAAAAGTTGTTCCGATAACTTTCTCCGAAAGAGCGTGTGTCACTGAATTTGGGAGTGGTTGGATGTTGTGTTTGATCTACCCTAGTAGCAGAAGCATAAATGGTGGGTGAACTTGCGGGAACCCTCCGCTGGATTCACTCCGCTTGATGGCGCCTGGAGCGTAAGGGTGTCGCGGTTGGTAGCACAACCCACTCTAGTGACAAGATGGGTGCCTGGGGATGAGCAAGATACTCAGTGGCGTGTACTGATAACTCTAGACTTAACCTTTGTTGGGAAAGCTCCTCGTGGTAGACCAGCATCCGCTCAGCGCATGCACATGCGAGATCTGAAGATCTCAACCAAGGAATGGAAAAATTCCCCGCCGAAGCTAATTTATTTCTCCCGGTTTAAGCTCAAAGAGTTAAAGTTTTATCCCACATCGGCATTTAATCCCTCAGAGATAATACAGAGATTAGTCATCTAAGAGTGGTTGAAGATTGGGACATCAGTTGATGGTTGTGCCGAACAAGGTTGGCTATCTGGGAGACCAAGAATAGTTCCTGCGGGGTATTTCCGACGGGCCGAAACTCCCAAGTGGATCACTGCGAGTATTTAATTGATTGCACGCATGGTTTAACGGTTCGGCTGCTCGCAGAGACGGATTTTTTCGCCGAAGTACATGCACCCATGGAACTTGATAAGTAGATACAACGAATCGGATCGTTGATGGGGAAATGTCTTCAACATGAGGGTATTGGGATACCAAAAAATGGGGTGGTGAGCATGTAAAAGACCTGGGTAATTAGCGCAAAGTTATAGTCTTACGGGGACAGGGGAAGAGTGTATTTTTAATCTTGAGCCTATTTAATCCGATGTTTGGCCGGACACGGAAGTTAAAAATGTAGACACTAAATTATGTAATTTGCGGGTGGTGTAGCTACTTAGATAACGTGAATAGCTTATGTAAGCGAAATTGTTCTATCATTCGTCGAATCACCCCAGGATCTTCGGCTTGGTCGTTACCACTGACGGTACGAAAAAAGCTATAGGTGTTTCCATGTATAATCACTGGTAAAAAGAACTAATATAAACACCTTGGTTTATCCCATTTGAAAGTAATTATAGAGAAACGTGAAATCATTCATTTTTTTGATCAATAACTATATATTACTCCTATTGATATTACATCATGTCTATACTTAATTACAGGATAATATATATATATATGTACTTACCATTCAATATCTATTGATTGATATAAAGCTAACCAAAAATAATTGTAGCAATATTGACGTAACGATGGCCCGGTTCATCGCGCCGCACGCCTTTTCTTCCACATTCGGCTAAAGGTAAACAGACCGAAAAACTGGTGTCACCCTAAGCACAGCCTTTCCTTCTAGCATTTAAACATTCTTCTTCAGACCCTCAGCTATCCACTCATCCTAACACCACCGATGTCGAGCCCATTTGACGACACCACCAACCTCTTGGACGCACCTTCAGCGCCGTCGCCGGCGCACTCACCACGGCGCTTCCAGAGTGCCTACACCCCGCTCCGAAACGATGCCCCAGAGACTGGTTACAACTCCCGTCCGGCCTCCCCAACCCGTTTTTCCCCCGCTGTTGCCTTTGGAAAGCGCAACCATGCGAGCCTCAGTGCTGGGCCCAACTTGCCGTACTCGCTTCCAGACTCCGCTCCGTCTTCACCTTCCCGCACCTCCAGAACGGAATGGACGAGGCTTGAGTCGCCAAAGCGCACGGGGTCAGAAGTGATCATTATTGAGGATGAAACGTACTCCCAGTCCGCCAACTTTTCATCTTCAACAACATCTTCCAAGCGCCTCTTGCCGGTTCCGCAGCCAATCTTCAGCCCGCAAACGTACGCTGAGGCGAACCAGCGTGACGATGAGACAATCAAAACGTTTCAGTTCGAGGACTACTCCGGAAAGGAGTTTGAGGACTACGAGGAAAAAGCGCAGACCGACTCCATCTTTTCAGCTGGCCAGGAAACATTCGCCTACGGTGAAACGTACGGCGAGGCCAGGGAATACCCGAATAACCCAGCGGACGAAGAAGAGTCCATGTTTGGCTCCTCCGTCGATAACCACATGATGATGGATCTCAGGGATTACAGACCCAGCGGCGATACCTTCTACAAGCGCAAGGTGCCGCTTAAGGGCGGCCACCTTATCCTCGAGAACCCGGTTCCGGAGAAACTCGTGGCAAACTTGCCCCGCACAGACTCTGAGGAGTTCACAAAAATGCTCTACACGGCATGCACCTCGGGCCCGGACGACTTTGCCGCACTGGGCTTCACGCTCCGTGCGGCAAAGTACGGCCGGGAAACCGAAATCGTCATCTGCGTCACGATGTACAACGAGGACGAGTTTTCTTTTGCCCGGACCATGCACGCGGTGATGAAGAATGTTGCCCATTTGTGCTCCCGGTACAAGTCGCGTTTGTGGGGGAAGGATGGCTGGAAAAAAGTCCAAGTGATTATTGTATCCGACGGCCGGAACAAGATCAGCGACGGGGTTTTGCAGCTTCTCACGGCCATCGGTGTCTACCAGGACAAGCTCACCAGGGCGTATGTCAACGAGAAAGAGGTGAATGCCCACATCTTTGAATACACCACGCAGTTGTCCATCGACGAGAACTTGAAGATCAAGAGCTCTGAGAAGAATCTCGCGCCGGTGCAGGTGCTTCTCTGTTTGAAGGAGAAAAACCAGAAGAAAATCAACTCCCACCGATGGTTGTTCAACGCGTTCTGCCCGGTGTTGAACCCTAACGTGGTGGTGCTTTTGGATGTGGGGACAAAACCAGATAACCACGCAGTGTACAACTTGTGGAAGGCGTTTGACAAGGACTCGAACATTGCAGGTGCGGCCGGTGAAATCCGCACGATCAAGGGGAAGGGCTGGATCAACCTCCTCAACCCGTTAGTGGCGTCGCAGAACTTTGAGTACAAAATGTCAAACATCTTAGACAAGCCGTTGGAGTCGGTTTTCGGGTATATTTCCGTGCTTCCCGGTGCCTTATCGGCCTACCGTTACATTGCGCTCACCAATCACGAGGATGGCACCGGCCCGTTGGCGTCGTACTTCCGCGGCGAGGACTTGCTTTCCGACAAAAAGGGCGAGGTCAAGGCGTCGTCCAAGATCAAGGACTTCTTTGAGGCCAACATGTACCTCGCAGAGGACCGTATTTTGTGCTGGGAGTTGGTCGCAAAGAAAGACGAAAAGTGGTTGTTGAAGTACGTGAGAGCCGCTACCGGTGAAACGGACGTTCCAGACTCCGTAGATGAGTTCATTTCCCAGCGCCGGAGATGGCTTAACGGTGCCCTTTTCGCGGCCATGTACTCCCAGTTCAACTTCCGCCAGATCTGGCAGACGGACCACTCAGTCGTCCGCAAGCTCTTCCTCCACATCGAATTCCTCTACCAGTTCCTCAACTCGATGTTTTCGATTTTTTCCCTTGCCAATTTCTACCTCACCTTTTATTTTTTGACCGGCTCTGGCGGTAAGTTGCTCGGGACCGCGGGCGACGTTCTCTTCAAGATCTTCAACTACTTGCTCATCTGCGATCTTGCGGGGATCTTCGTCATGTCCATCGGAAACCGTCCCCAGGCGTCCAAGAGTCTCTTTATCGTGGGGATGTCCATCCTCACGCTCTGCACCTTGTACTCCCTCATCTGCGGGTTTTACTTTGTCATCCACATCCTTACCCACGCGGATGAACTTGCGGGCTCGCGTTCCGTCGTCACAACCATTGTTGTTTCGCTACTTTCAACCTACGGTGTTTATGCCCTCATGTCCATCCTCTACCTCGATCCGTGGCACATTCTCACGTGCTCCCTCCAGTACTTCTTGATGATTCCGTCTTATACGTGCACGCTCCAGATCTACGCCTTCTGCAACACCCACGATGTTTCCTGGGGCACCAAGGGCGACAACGGGCCTGTAAGCGAGCGCTCAACGTATATCATTGAGAAGAACGACCAGGGGATTGAGGTTGCGGAGGTGTACGAATTCAACAACGACGAGCTTTATGAAGAGGCCTTGTACAACATCAGAAACAAACGCTCGAGCTTGAAGGTCAAGGAGGTGGTCAGAAAACAGCCAAACTCGGGCGAGGACTACGCCCGAGACATCCGCACCAAGGTAGTGTTGGTGTGGCTAGTGGTGAATTTGGTCTTCATCATGATTATGATGGAGGTGTTTTCGCCGGATCTGACGGAGACCAATTACTATTTGTCATTTATTCTCGTCTCCGTCGCCTTCTTATCCTTCTTCAAGGCCTTGGGCTCTCTCGCATACTTGTTTGTCGAGGGCTTACGCTGGTGCGTCGAGTCCAAGAGCAAGTTTTTTGAGAACAGGGGTGGCTACAGCAGTACCGCAAAGGCCCTCAATCCGTTCTAGTTAATCCGTTCAGTAATTATATTAATAATACCCACAAACACGCCTTGTAGATTAGGATGCTCCCCTTCATATTGACGAGTTCTCTTTTTCAGCTAAATGGAGAGGGAGTGTACTTGTAAATCGATAGTAATCTCCTTTTCTATAGCCCCCTTCACGGAGCAGACCCGCTGTTTCGTTGTATTTCTGTACTTTACTGAACCCCAGTATACGATTTTTGTCTTGATAACATACCCCGTTTCATGGAAAGTCACAATCAGTGTTCCTTAACAGCGATTTACTCCAATCCAAGGTTGTTAAAGGATTTATTGTAGCTTACCCATTCCAACTCCATAATCTCGACACGTAAACTCCCAGGAATGACAAGACTCCAGGTCCCGACGTGTTAACAAAGTGGATTCAAATACTTTCTACACTCCCTTGATCTACTCATCCCTGAGGTTTGAAAAGTAATCCTATTCAATGTACAACCCTCTTTTGGAATCGTACCTCCTCCCCAAGGAATCTACTACCCCGCTGTTCGCCAGCAAACTCCACGGGGCGTCTCCGACCGCGTATTTCTCCAATGGAAGATCAAACGGGAGCCTCACCACCGAGTAGCCATCCCCCAAGCGCTTTTCTGCCATTTGCTTTTCCATAATGGTGAGGGAGTTGGCTCCAAATACCGGCATAATGGGCCCTGGGAGAAACACTCCTGCCTCGTAGCTTGCTACCTGGAGAGTTTGCCTCCACCACCCTTTGGAGCCAACACACGGAGCCCCCCAGGCCTGTTTGCTCAAATTAGCACTAGTCATCAAGCACCACGGGAGGGTGGTGTGTCCCTCCTCCGTCTGGGCTACAAAGTAGAATTTGCAGTGACCTATCGCCTGCTGCCGATTTGCCTTTTCTGATTTCCAGCGAGCAAAACAGGTCCGAAGTAGTGCATCCTGGGCTCGTTGGGGCGCAGAGGTGAGGTAGTTGTAATGCAAATACTGGCCAGAGTTATACCCAATGGAAGATTCACTAACATCTTTAGCAGTGGGATAGACGATGGACGGCCGGTACTTGTGAGATCTCTGGTCCTCTAAAATGGATTTAGCTCCAGGTTGGAGCGGAAAATCGCTACCCTTGATAATCAAAGGACAAAGAAGGTGCTGGAAGAGCGTTTGGACGGACCCAGCACGGTAAGCCACGGCTGAGGCAATGGAAGAGACCTGCGACACAACGTCACATTTCCCAGGAAAAAATAAATTGTACTTTTCAAGTAATTTATAGAGCTTGGCGTATCCGTAGGTTTCGGCACTGGTTAAGTCGTAACCACCTGGGGCAGAGCCCAAAAACTCCACCTCAATAGACGAAAACTCGTACCCTTCCAAGTTCTTGGCCAACTCCAAAACCTCAGAGAGACCGTAGCGTCTCAAGTAGTTTAGGAAGTCCACCTTGAATGTGGAGCTAGCTTCTTTTCTCGACTCTGCTTTTGGTAAAAGGCCGCTTCGCCACACAGATTGAGATGCGGCCATGTCGAGAAGCTGGAGGTTAGCTGTCATAATCACGATTTCTACTGAATCTTTCCCGTCCATGTTGTAGAAATTCACCATGACTTTCAGATGGTGCGTGCCGTACCGTCCAAGGTTCGTCACTAGCAACTGCCGCACATTCCAGCCCTCGTCTAACCGGTACGCGTGTAAGTCGCTAATATCATGCTGGGTTATAAAGACCACCTCGGTAGATTTGCATACATGCGGGAGGAAAAAGTCGAGATCGATGCAATAATTGAACTGGTATGTTCTGAAAATGGCTGGGGAAGAGACAAGGGATTCGAAAGAGACTGCGTCAAAGTTTGCCCCGGGGGTGTTTGACATCGTGGGGGTTTCAAGCAAGAGGAACGGGGAGGTGGGGTTGGGACTAGGAGATCCAGCGGTATCTCCTGGGTCTGCATCAGTCTCGGAAAGGTCTCTATCGGAAATTTCGGTCTCTGAGCCAGATGTTATGTCTATAACTTCAGCCAGGGTGGCGATATTTTCGGGAAGTTCACTCTCTGAGTCAATTTCAATAACCTCATGGGAAGGATGGACCTCTTTCTTATTGGAGTAAGTATGTATTTGGGGAGGTGCTACTTCCATTTTACTGGCCCTTGGAAGCCCGTTCCCAACTCCAGCTGTCACAAAGGCATGGCCAGCAGAAGAACTTGCTTTATATACCACATCAGTGACCACCGTTGGATCGTTCAACTGGTCTCTTGTATTTGTCATCGATGAGCTCATCTCCTCCTCATTTGGGATGGCGTCAGTTCCCGTAGAACTATCTACCTCTGCGACAGGCCGAGACAGGGATTCTGCACCAGCTTTCGACGGGCCCCTTTTGGCCCATATTTCGGCCACTTTCATAGCAGCAGCACTTCTCTTAATACCACTCATTGTTATCTGGATTTGGGAACATTGAAGGTGGAACCAGCACAGTGTGACTTTTAGACATGAACCTAAGAAAAATAGTATCCATTCATGTTGACACGTGATGTATGCGAATGTGGGGAACGGTGGAGGTGGTTGGATTGTAGGTCAACGAGGAATAATAGGATTAAAAAACGAGAATTTGTAAATCTTCTTAAAGCGAGTGCTACTGGATTAATTTAAACCAATCCACCGTTACACGTCTGTATATTCGCGAGTATTACAGATGTCACGTACATTACAGATGCTCGTTAACTTCCGTACGATGGATGCAAAGTTACAGAACTGTCAACAAATATGCGGTGTACGATACTCCAGAGAGAATTTCAATAATTAAACCTTCGAAAAATAGCCTAACTGGGTATTCTACTCGCTTATGATTAATACCCTTTTATTCAGTAACTTTCACGGTCAAAAGCTAGGCTGACTCGCCAATCCCTTGGAACATTCTTTGCTAAATGGCGTGCCTGCAAAAAAAAAAACAAGCCTTACAAAGCAATCCCAGTCAACAAGGTCTATAGTTGACAACGGCCGTGGTTTATTCATCTCACTTTATGATTCAAAAGGACCAGTGGCTCAGAGTTATTTATGACCAATCTCTAGACGTTATGTCGGCAAGCTCCATTGCCTTTTCCTCGTTAATGCTTCTAAAACCCCTTGGTCCGGTTCTTGACCGCACGGAACAACTTCTCCACCACCTTCTGGTTGTAATCACCCGACTGGATTCCGCTGAGCAACCCAAAGCACTGCAACAAGCGCAAGCTCTGTGAGATTTCCTCGCTGGCAGAGTTGCCGGGAACCGTCGGCGGATACATCAGCTGGAGGGCAGCGGTCTTCTCGTACATGGGCATCACTACATTATCCCTGAACATGATCAAGATGAACCGATCCACGGCCAAGGTCTCAGTCTTGTGCACCTTGCACAAGTCCTTCCAGTAGCTCTGGGCCTTCAGCTCAGGCCGAAGCACGGCCCCAGCACCCTCAAACTCGAGCTGTAGTGGGAGAAGAGTGCCCTGGAGCGTATGATACACTTCGGAGTAGAAGTATTCCCAGAGGTTGGCTAACTCGGTGTCGAGGGAGCCCAAGACGTCGGAGGGGACACTTCCGGGGCTATAGGCAAGGTTGAATGTAGAGCTCATCGGCGTAATGTTCCCATTCGTCGACCCGAGTTTCGTGTCGGGCCTATAGTGATAATTATCCGCAAGGAGCCGGAAGCCGTTCCCAAACACCTCGGTGATTTCGCTGGCGTAGTTGATTCCCGTGACGCGTTCGGTGTTGTAGCGGATGTAAAAGTGGATTGTGACCAAATTGTTTAGATCCTCAATGGGATACTTACTCAAAATGAGGTGGTTCGCGGTGGAGTTCAGGCTGTTTTCAAAAAGTGGCGTGAGTGCCGCGTAGAGAAGCATCATGATATCATCGGCCAACTGCTCCTTCTCCTCGAGGGCCTTGAAATTCGCCGCAAACGTGGCGCTGTTCGGGTTGAGCAGCTCTAAGATCGTGAGCGTTTTCTGGATATTGTTGAAATTGAGGTCCTTGAGGTTCCCATGGGTAGCGCCAGACGGAGATGCTAACGGGTTGAACGAATTGTACTTGACCCCCGGCCGCACAGAGAACAAGTCGTCGTTGAGAAGCTTGGAGTTGGAGTTGGAGTTGGACGACGAGATGATGATGGAGTTGTTGTTGTAATCTTTGATGTGCGGCTGGTGCAAGTGGCGCGTGCGGAAGAAGTTATTTACCGCGTTATGTTTGCGCGTTGTGACCGACTGGTGGGTCGAGTTGTCCTGAACCGTAGAGGCGGAAGAGTTGGATGAGAGTAAACTGTCAGTGGATGCCTTTGTGAGCTTTCGCTCGAGCTCCCTAGACCCTCTGACGGATCCGAACGACGGCCTGTCGCTGCTGACGGATGCAGCCGCGCCCAACGCTCCTGTCTGGATACTCAATTTTTCCTTGAGTTTCTTCTTGCCGGCGGCAAAATCAGTGGTGTTTCCCCGCGAAAACAACTTGGTGAACGAGCTTTGTGGCTTCAGGGGCTTGCTGGGTGACGTGTGCGTGTTGGTCTTGGAGAGATTTGTGAAGGGCACATTCGATACGCTGTGGTGCGCTAGCGAATCGTCCTCGAGGAAACTCGAGTTTAGCGTGCGATCAAACGGGAATACCGAGTCGAAAGAGGTATCGCGCGTGGGCGTGTCAGGGTTGGAGGACAAGCTTGTGGAGCGCGTATGTTTGAAGGCGACCGACTGAACAAAGCTTGACGTACTCGGCTTTCGACTCACGGACTGGTCAATAAACGGAGTGGACATGGCGGTGGATAGGAGATGGATGGTATAGGCAGTGCAGTTATATATGGGCAAATTAGGGTGAAGAAGAGTGATTTGCAGGTTTGGGCTGATACAGAGCCGAGGTGGCTTATCAGCACGTGATAAATGGTATGGGTACTGCCCGAAACTGATAAGTGTGGATTAGCGTAGAGGGGGAAACTCGGAGATACCTGTTTACCCTTGTAAAATCTTGGACACCGTTGTGGCAAAAAACTATCCCACTTGCAAGGGATTGTGTATCTCGCTTATACTTTATGCCTGTGTTTTTGTTTAGCTGACGGCCAGGGAACGCAGTCACTTTATATCCTTAGATTGGGTTTATTGAATCAGAGACATTTTGCGTTTGTAATAAGTACCGTATAGATATAATTAAAGGAGGGACTGGGTAAAACGGGTGTTTGCAAAAACGTGGCAACAAAAATGTCCCCTTACAACTTGTTCGTGACAATCGCAGTATTGCCAGTACAGAAAGTGGTCGATGTAGAGGCATCAGTGGTAAACTCGGAGGCATTGATTGCAAAAGCAGACATACCAGAAACCCCAAAGTTCCGGGATAATAGCAGCGCCTCCAGAAAGATAACACTGGTAAATCCTCGATTTTCAATTTGGCAAAAAATCTTAATGGCCAAGAAAAAACAATGGCAAGTAATTCAATCCGAGAGTGCGGAAAATCAGAGCTAACCAGTAATGCAACCAGGTTGGTGTATGCCTGAGCCGCACACTTATCCATCGCGCCGGGTATTTCTGGACGCGCTTTTGATCAGATTGCTCCCCCGGCTCACTTTCCAACATACCATGATCCGCTTTATAGACAACGACCCCGATGCTGGATCTACCAATTTTCTCAGACCAGCTGCTGGTGGGCCAACCACGGCGGTGTCGCTAGAAAATATCCACGAAACAAGCCACGAGACCCCGCTTGGCTCGGGCGCCAGCTCGCCAGAGCTAACGGTGTATGACGACGATGATAGTGAGGATGCTGCATTTATGCTCAGCCATTTGGTTAGTGACGGGTACCAGAGTGTTCTGCAGGGCGAATCTAGTGACTTTTCCAACTTTTCCTTTGCTTTAGGAGCTGAGCCTGCCCCAGATGTAGATTTTGCCTCACAGGCAAAACAGTTTTTCATCCTTTCGTCTGCGGGAAAACCCATCTTTTCCTACCATGGAACGGATGAGACGGTCACCAGCTACATGGGCGTGATCCAGACACTAGTGGCGTTCTTCCAGGACGACAAGGATAACGATAATGGAGATAACCTCCGGACGATCACCACCTCCAACAGAACAAAGTTTTCAGTGTTGAACCAATCGCCATTGCTTTTCATGGCTGTATCCTCGCAAAATGAACCGGATGGAGTCCTATCGCGCCAGTTAGCGTTTCTCCACAACTTTCTCCTCTCCATTTTCTCGCGCAGCTTTATCGCGCGCAGCTTTACGCGTGCAAACTTCAACCTCCAGAACCACTTGAGCAGCAACGATGTACGTGCGCTCATAGAGATTTGCGACGGCTTTGCGCACCGTACAATGACCAATCTCAACTTCCTCACCTCTTCCTTGGAGTATTTCTACCTCAAAAAGGCCGTGCGCGCACGTATTGACGACGTCTTTCTCTCGCTCCGCGCGTTGAAGCTCGGCGATGAAACCGATTCCAACAACTTGTTGTACGGGTTGCTAGTGGCACCGCATGGAAAACTAATCAGCATTCTCCGCCCGCGGAACCGCTCGCTCCACACAATCGACCTCCAGATCTTGTTCCGCGCGGTATTCAGCCTTGCGCGCGACGGCCTGGGTGACTCCCAGGAGGAGTTCTGGGTGCCTATCTGTCTTCCGAAGTTTAATGCGAACGGCTTTTTGTACGCATACGTGCGGTTTGTCGACAGTGTAGCGTTGATTTTATTGTCGGCTACTAAAGGGGCGTTCTACGAAATGAAACAGTACGCCAACAGCTTTGTCGCGAAGCTAGAGCTGCCGAAAATCATGGGGAGTCTCGCGCAGTCTCTCCAGCTTGCGCGCAACGGTATCACCGCCGCTTTTGTCCACAACACCAACATTCTGCACTTTGTGTATATCTCAAAGAAGCATCTCCAGCATATTAACTCGAGGCTACCCGATGACGAAGTGATTAGGAACAATGTGGCGCGGTTCTACCACGTTTTAAAAGACTTTCTTGACACTCAGGACTCCTCGCAAACTGAGAAGGGCGATGAAACACGGATTGTGTTTCGGAAATGGCGTACGGGAGAACGGTACCTTGTGGGGTTTGGGCTTGCTAACGCAAGCTTTGAGATCTATGCTTTGGTTCCGCACAGTTTTGGCAACGGAAACGTTCGCAAGGACTTGATTTTTCATAACATCATGGGTATCGTGCGCTGGTGTGCGCGGAACGAGGAGCGTTTGTTTGTGGTGGGTGGGGCCGTGTTCTAGTCCAAAGTTGATGTGAATAGTACGGGTTTAATAGTCTGGGTCTACCGGAGGTTGTTTAATATTCTCGTGCCTGCCTCTATTGGGATACTACGGTTTTCTGTTCTACTTAGGATCCATTCGAGTAATAATTTCTCGCGTGTTAGCTATACATTTAGATCGCACTAAAGGCTAAGCGGTTCTCCCGGGGGGTGTTTCAAATACCAGCTATCGATAAATTATAGATTTTTTGACATTTGGCTATTGTGACTCCGACCTCGAAGCATACCCTTTAGGGAAATTTTCCACTTTCAGACGTCTATATTCGGACACTGCAACCGGCCATCGCTACTTTCTGTACCCAGTACCGGTGATTCCAGAAATCGACAAAGTGCGATACAAGACCAATATACGCAACCACTTTAATCATAATTGCAAAGATTGGCTGATTCCTAGACCTTTATCGTATATCCGAGCCTTATATTTCCTCTCAGTTTTAGCCTACCAAAAGCATATATCCCACCTCTATGCAACTTTCCACTGTACTTTGGCTATCTGCCACCATCAATTAGCTATATCCTTGGCTCCTATAAAGCCATATCTAAACTGCGAATTCATTTCAGCAAGTCACTTCTGTTAGCTCCCGTTCCATTGATTTGTAGCTGTAGGTTCTTGCGCATACGCGCCGTTCGACCCCGCATACGAGCTACTTGTCTCCACAAATGAATTCACATCCTGCGGATACGGATTGCTTGTCTCCGCAAACTCGCCAAATTCCGGTGGCTGCGCCTGGTTGGTGAACATGTAGTCATCCTTCAAGTTCTCCAAGTTGGACGACCAATTGAACAAGATCTCGTAGCTGGGCTGGTCGAGAGGCGCATCCTCAAAGCCCTGCTTGGGCCCTGAGCGCTTGACCAGCTCCTCTTTCCGGCGCAAACGCGCGCGCGCCAGGCTCGCATACGCGTGGCCCGTGTACGACTGCGAGTCGCGCGCAAAGGCCGCGTTCGTGTTCGCACGCGCATCCGCGTCTGGCAGCACCCGGAAGTCATCGAAGCCTGGGTCCGCACTTGTCGACGCGTTCAGGTTCTGGCGCGACATTTGCGTTCCCCATTCGAAGGGCGCGGCCGCAGGCGCATTCGCGGCGGACGACACGAGCGATGCGGTATCCGAGTAGAAGTCCGCATCTGAGTTCGACGCAGGCTTCGCGAACTTAAAACGCTTGGTATCGTGCGCAGGTGGGTCGCGGAAGAGCTCGCTGGCAACATCTTGGACAGCGACGCCCTCGCCGAGCACTCTGGTCTCGCTGCGGATGCACTTGATGGTTTCGTGGATCTTGTTTGCATCATAGCCAGCGGTGCTCGCCTGGCTTGCGGAGCGCACGAGGTCTGCTACACGTGTATTGTCGGTGAACAATGCGCACACCGCATGCAATATCGCGAGACAGCGCGCGAGACGCGCGTGGTGCTGTGGGTTTGGCTTGAAGATCAACAGACAGCAGTAGATGAGGTAAAAGCAGTTCACAACAATGTGTTTTGGGAAGTCGATAAGGGCGCAAAGGTTCAGGATAATCATGTTCGTGGAGAGCGCGGCATACTCGCCGTCACTTGCATACGCCTGTGGTGCCGAGTAGTCGGCGTCGTTCTTCTTGTCGAAAACGAATAGCGTGTACGTGAGGAACTGCTCCGAGATGAAGGCGAGCGTGACAAAGTGTTCATACTTGAGTTTTTCCGAGGACTTTCTGCCAATTGCCTCTCCCGACGACTGGAGCGTGTTGATGAAGAACGGAAGGTACGACTCGGCCCTTAACGTGAAGTAGAACACGGATAACTGGTAGTTGATCAAACTTTTTTCGAGGTTGGTCGTCTGAGACAAATTGTTGCTCCCAAAAACCCTCACCTCGATGTCGCTGCCGCTGCTGAACTCGTGGTAATAGTTTGCCTGGTGTTGCTTAATACCGTTGCGCCAGCTCTCAAGTCCATGGTTGAGTGCGTCCAACTCAATGAGCGACTCGATCGTGAACGGTGACTCACGGATCGCGAAGATCAAGTCCTGGAACAAGTTCGTGGGAATAAGCTTGCTGTCCTTCACAAACGAGTTGAGCTTCGGGATCGCGTCTCGCGGGGTGCCCGAAATCGTCGTGACGGAGTGGCCAAACTTCAAGCGGTAGATCTGCGTGAGGATCTTCAACGACCAGATGATCTTGAGACGGATCTTGTTGTCCCACACGTTCTGCTGGAGCTGCGCCGCGGGCCCCGCAGCCGTCACAATGCCGTTGCCCAAATGTGCAGCCAGCGTGGAGAGTCCCTGGACGTTGTAGATAGACGTGTAGCTGTTGAGGGTGATGAACAGATCGAGCAGATGGAGGATCTTGAAGCTGTTGGTCTGGTCGTTGTTGATGATCAAGTAGTGGACGAGGAGGAGCTGGACCGAGATGGAGTTGAGGGACATCTTGCACACATTGTTAAAAGACGAGCAGAGGATGAGGGGGTCTACGAAGTCGTCCTCGAGGTGGAGGGGGTTCAGACTAAGCGTGATTTTTGTGATCATGAGGATCTGGATAATCACGAGCTTGTAGTCCTTGATGAGCTGGATCAACTCCGAGCGCAACGCGTAGCGGATGTGCGTGGGGTCCGCTTGCGACTGCAGCACAAGAAGCGCCTTCTGCTTCACGCCCATGAGCTTGTTGATGAACTTGAGGTAGTGCGGGAGGAAGTTTTTGAACGTGAGAATGGGAATAAGCGAGTTGTAGTGGTGGAAGTAGTTCAGCAACACGTGGTCGAGCTTGAGCTTGTTGTCGAAGATTTCGCTGGTTTTGGCAATGTGGGTGTTGCTGCGGTGGTTAATGTCCATGGGGTCCATCGTCTGAGCGTATTTCGGCACCTGTGAGAGGATTTTAAAGAGGTAGTCGTCGAGCTTGAAGTTCTCCATCGCGTAGTCGAGGCTGCGGCTGTACGTGGAGACGGAGGGGTCGACCGGTGCCGCGAGGTGCTTGAGGTTGAGCGCAAAGAGGAGCTCATTAAACTTGTTGGAAAGGCTCTTGAACTTTTCGCAGTTCACAACCTTGAGTTCATGCTCGTTGATGATGTAGTTGTTGTAGGTGTGGACGGGTCCGGGAGCCTGTGCCGCGCTCGCAGCACTCGCGGGGGTATCCGCATCTGGGACACTCGGGTTCGGGTTTGTATTCGACAACGCCTTGATCGCGTCCGTCAAGTTCGCTTCGCGGTGCTCGGGCGCGCCCGCCTGCTTGAGCTGCTGCTTCATGTCCTCGAGCTTCAAGAGCAAATCGTTATTCTCTGTTTCGAGCGCCTTAATGTTGCGCTCGAGGTTCTCGGTGTAGCCCTTGGGAAATGAGCGGCGCGTGAGCTTATCACTAATAGAGCAGTTAAAGCCACCCTTGGCGCAGTTGTTGCACGGGAGCGAGCCGTCGCACTTGATTTTTTTGATACGGCAGCGGTCGCACGCCTGCGAGATGCGCACCGCGCCAGACTTGGTACGGATGAGCTTGAGCTGCGACTGGCGCTCTTCATGGGAGGATGTTGTGGACATGATGAAATGACAAGTATTCGCCTAGAACGAAGGTGAGGCGGAAATGAGTGAAGCCAAAGAGCGTAAACTCAAGAGTGAGTTGTAGCCGGGTGAGCTTGGTAGTTTAGACCGGATGACTGCTAGGAAATTAGCTTTTAGAAAGATGTAGCTGTAGGGCTGCAAAGATTAAGCTAGCGCCGCGAGGTGCGATTCAAGGAATAGTCTTTGGCAATTGTTTCAACAAATTCGTCACTGCAAATGGAGTCTTTTCAAGGGTAATCTGGGAAGGCGGGAATAGTCGTGGGAGACCTGAGCAAAGACTAGACGGAAAACTCTGGAGACTAAATATGTCGATTGGAGCAAGGAATTGATGAGCTAGGAAAGCAAAAAGTGGAGATGGAGTCTTTTCAATAATTTGCAAAACGGCACTTTGCAAAGACGTGTGACTTTTTGATTTTCGCGCAACGAAGCCGGGGAAGGTCGTGCTTGGCCACATGTCACTGGCAGAGCTCAAAGAACGAGATCGGATCCGGGGTACATGGAACGAGGAGGGCCACTGCTGAAAGCAAAGCTAGCCACGCCTCTTTTGAGAATATTATAGTGTGATTAATTTGGTATAGAGTATTTTAATAAACCCCTCTGATTTTTTTCCTTTCTTGAAAGGTTTGCCTGGGAGGACTACGAGGTGTTTAGCCTCCATATCCTTCGTGCGCCGAAACCCGGGCTGAATCGGAGAGCGGAAAAACTAAGGTGAAAAGTCTAAGCCTCCGGGGACATTACATTAGTAGAGCAAAGCCGCCGCGAAAAGAAGTGTATATAAGTAGGTGGTTGTGTATATAAAGTGAAGGACTAGTCTACCGATTTGGTGGCTGCTGATTGCAAACTATGACTTTTCTATCCAAGATATGACACTGAAGTATGTGGTGCGAAGCGAGACCCAACTTTTACATACCCTTGAACCAATACATAATGTGCACGTGATACGATATGACCACTATTGGATAATACCGCCCGGTATGTGCCTTGGTGTATATTCTTGACAATGTTAGTAATTTGGTACCTTTATATTACTCAATATCCCCCCGGTGAATGTAATTTCCCATAATTTACATACTACGCGGTTTGTCTACATGTCTATACAGTTTTTTTTTCCACTAACCAATGATTTCGTGGCCAAGTTGGCTAAGGCGTGTGACTGTTAATCACAAGATCGTGAGTTCGACCCTCACCGAGATCGGTTAGCTTTTTAATACTTTCGACTGCGATGATGGTCATCACCGATAATGGTTTAATGAGGCTTTATACTGTTTATAAAACAGAGCCCTCTATGATTAGCCTTACTCGGGGATTTCCTTTTCTAAAAGGCGCGTGCCTTTAAACTTTGCAAGTTCACCACTGTTCCAAGTTCCATCTCAGAATTATTATTTTGAAATCTTTCATTCCTAAGACACCAGAGACTCTTGCGGTAAAGATTAATGTATTAAAAGCTACAGTTATTCCATTAGAGTGTATGATCAACTTCCAATATGCAAACCATCCTAAATTCATAGCGAGGGTAGCTTGGACTCCAGAGAATGGATCATTCCCAGGTTTACCTAGCCTGGAGCTGATACTATACATAATCAATATTATCACCCCGCAGTTATCGCAGCATTATACAAGTAATTCCGTCCATAGCTCAAGGACTCAGTTTCGAAGCGCATGGCTGCGCTACCTCCGGTCCACTAGCTGGCATGGGGTTACCACCTTGCTGGGTAGCCATAAATCAGCGCTGTATAGGTCTTAATACTCTCCGAAATATCCGTCTTCTCGGTTAGTATGCAATGGCGGTGTCGATCCCTTGGATCTCATCTACCAAGGCTTCCAAGCTCTCTAAACACGCCATGTCAAACGGTGGTTCCTCACTTTCATCCTGGCCTGTCAAAAACTCATTGAGCTTAATCAAATCGTAGTAGTTGTTGTAGACAATAGACTTTATCTCCGATTGGTTTCCATTTAGGCTGCTGGTGATCTCGTTTTGCACCGCGAGCATTTGTTTAAGCGGCGAGTCCCTAACAAAGGCATCAAAGTTGGCAGATATTTGTGCATAGTTATTTGTTTCAACAGGCTGTGTCTCTGAGGCCCCCTGTTTGGCCTGTTTGTAAAACTCCTTGAGCGCCATCCGTCTCTGTTTGGTAGAAAGCTTAACGGAGGTATCGGCGGGTTTGGCCGTGCTCGACGTCTCCGATCGTGATGACTTCTTGAACGATATGCTGGATTGGGGAGTGTTGCTTTCTGACATGTTAGGATGGTTGTGAGGTAAGGGAGGTGTAGGAAAATGATAAACCAAGTGTTATACACGTACCCCGATAGAGTCACGTGTATGCCAGCATACGAGTCGGTGGGAGTAACCAAATGGTAAGAGGTTGCTGTGGGCTCATAACCTGAGACTAGTAGCTAGATCTGAGGGTACGGCGGTGAATAGATAGGTGGTACGGCGAAGGTACTAAAAACGATAAATATTAGTTAGTTTTACTGAGTCTATTCTTTGCTATAGAGGCCCTCTGATAATTTATTACGCCAAAGGGGATAGACTTTCAAAATGATCTTTAGCTGCTATTCAAGAAAGCGTCTGAGAAACCCTGGTGCAAGCAGTAAAGCCCCTAAGTATTAAACCAGAGAACAGCCTGGAAAAACTACATATACGGGAATCCAGCCCACCTGTTAGGGTCCCTATACGGAGCAGTTTTGGGTAGAGGGCTTTTTTTTTCTGCAAAATATCAAATTAACCCCACCAGGCAAAGATCCATAGCGGTCTCCACTTCGCCAGTCAGCGATATTGACTAATAAAACAGGGAGCTCTATGCTCAGAACGGGCCACCCCAGGGTTTTTACCAGAATCGGCTTAGAGGGATAAACTTTATATAATTATCAATACCAATGTCTCTGAAAATCAGAGTGTCGGACATACTCCAAAATCAGGCCTCAGTTAGAGTAGCTCGTCGTCCACATGCTGCTACAGTACGCCACTACAATATATCGTGACAGTACATCTTTGTACTGTCGGATTGCAACTTGCGGCATCCCACAGATAACTGAATATACCCTATATTCAACTAAATGTCTGCTCCCCATCAAGTCTCAATGTCGACATTCCCTAGGAACGGGAACACTACCTAACCCCTAAATAAAGAATGATGGATAATTGGAGTGCCGTCACCAAATGTTTAAACTCATTCTTAATCAAATACTAGTTGCTGCCTCGGTGTGCCTGGTGCCCCGCGTTAATTCCCATCAACCCGCGCTCGTTTCTTTTTCCCGGCCTCTTCCCACAGTGCGTCGCGATACCAGTGGATAAGTCGCTGTGCGTCACCAAACTGAACGCAGGTTTGACGCCAACGCAAAAACAGCCAAAAGGAAGGCCAACTTGTTCTTATAATTTGTTTCGCTGCTCACCTTGCCAATTGACCGCTACCATCCCCATCTAGCGTGCTCCATTTGGCAACCTCATTGCAATCCATCTGAACCATATCCATCTCAGCTTGAGCTCAGCGGTCTCACCCATTGCATTTTCTCCATAGTTTCCAGCTCTTAAGCTCAACACTCCCATCGAATAGACCGTTTATCCACGCGTGAATTCCCCGTGACCATCATCTCCCTCGATCTGGTGCCACCGATCATCTTTGTCAGTCTATAGACTTTTTGTTTACCCCCCCGCAGTCTCTTGCAAGCGTCGATTATCCGAGCTTCACGATTACCCGAACTCCGCAGTCATTCAACCCAATTCGGAATCTTATTTGAATCCCTACATATATTGCTGAGCACTCATTATATTAGGCCACGCAAGTCCTCTCATCACAAGTGCCATTCCTGTTACAGACATTTTCGTAGGCCCCGAACTCGATGAATATCCTGTCACCGCTCTTCCCCGCGCAGTTCCTCTCGCCAAATGCGGACACTACGCTCACGCTCCCCGACAAACCGAACGCGTCATCCGGGTCTGTGTCGCTCTATGTGGTGCTTGCAGAGTCAATGCTCTTTGTGCAAGGCTTTGAGCCCCATGAGCAAATGGACCGTCCACCGACAGTGCTCCGCGGCGCTCTTGTGCTCCGCGTGACCAAGCCGGTGCGTGTGCGCACGCTCACACTCGCGCTCAAGGGTGTGCTCGAAACCGACTGGCCCGAGGGCATCCCGCCCAAGAAGACAGAGTATTCCGAGGCGTCCACACTCGTGGCGCACACGTGGCCGTTCTACGCGGGAGACCCGGATCACGGTGCCAGCGCGTTCACGGCTGCAAACCCCGACGTGGATGATCTTAGCTTAGACGCAGCGGCGCTATCGCCGGTGCGCTCGCGTATTGGGCGCAGCTTCCCGACCGGGTTGTTTCCCAGCCGCACCTCCAGCCCCGGCCCCGACACAGCGCTGGTAGTCCTGAACACAAACATCGCTGGCACGTTCCAGCCGGGCGAGTACATATACAACTTTGAACACGCACTTCCAGCGAGTACGCCCGAAACAACGTCCGGAACGTACGGCCGCGTGCGGTACCACCTCGAGACAGACCTCGAGCGCAGCGGGCTCCTCGCGACAAGCCTCCACGCGCGCGTGCCGCTCACAGTCGTGCGGCTGCCACTTGACGAGTCACTTGGTGAGACGGAGCCCATCCACATTGCGCGCGAGTGGGATGACCAACTCGCGTACGACATCGTGGTGGCGGCCAAAACCGTCACCCTTAACACGTTCCTCCCCATCGCGTTCAAGTTCACGCCGCTTGACAAGCACGTAGAGCTCTTGCGCATCCGCGTGTATGTTACTGAAAGCATGGAGTACTATTGCCGTAACGACAAGGTGCACCGGCTGGAACCTACGCGCAAATATCTCCTCAGCGAGCACAAGTCGCCTACCAGTCTCCTTGCAGACGACAGTGGCACCGGCGTGTGCGAGAAGGAGATGGAGTTCCAGGTGTACGTGCCCGAGAAGCTTACAGAGCGGTGCCACCTCCACCCCAATACGTCCTTCAAGCGCATTCAGGCGCACCACTGGCTCAAGATCTGCTTGCGGCTCGCGCGCCGCAACCCGGATGGTACCGCAAAACAGAAGCACTACGAGATCTCCATCGACTCACCCATCAACCTCCTTCTGCCGCACTGTGCGCACGTCAACACGCTCCTCCCGGCGTATGAATGGCCGGAGATGGATGCCTGGCCGCAGGACCTGCCGCTCTCGCCGCATGTCACGGCAGTGGACGCGACCACACTCCTGGAGATGCTCCACGACGGACCTCACCTCCTTGCGTCACCAGGCCTCGAGCCAGTAGATCTCCACCTCCAGGCGAACCTCTACGCGCCGAAGGACGTGCCTCTCGAGTTACAGGGCCTCCAGGCTCACGGCTCGCGTGTTGCATCGCCGCTCGCGCGCCCCATCCACCTCATTCGCCGGCCCTCCGTCAACCCACCGACCTTTGCCGAGAGCGAGGCGTGCTCTGGCCGTGCGTCGCCCGTAGGCTTCTCGCCGAGCGCCTCCATGCTCTTCTCGCCCGTTCCCGGTGCCATCGATGCCCTCTTGGGCCTGAGCACCTCCCCGGAGCCGCCCACCTACGATGCCGCCGTCCGCGAGGGTGTTCACCGCGCCCTCCACAACGCGTTGACCGAAGCCCTGGTTGCTTCTGGAAGTGTCACGTCTGAAACTAGTGAACTAAAGCTCATGGTCACACCTCCTAGTCCGCCGAGCGCATCTGCCACCCATGACACTTCATCCGAAGTTTCCGGTAACTCTAACGGCAATGGCCCCTCAATTACTGCTGGGGTGGTTGTCCCTGTTTCAGATTCGTCTCTCCGTGCCGATCCTTCTGCAAACACCTTCAGCGTGGGCGCTTCTGGCCTCGCATCTTCCAGGCCATCCGTGGAGTTGCGTTCGGTGCTGAGCATGACATCAATGGAGGCGTACGAACGCCAGGTTCAACTGAACCAGCACTCGCCGTTGCTCGCATTGTTTGGCACGCCCGCGCCCATCGATGATGTCATGGAGGGTTCTATTGGTAGTGGCGATGGTTTGGAAGAATTGGATCTCCTGGATGGGAGCCATTTGCATCTCGACCGCGTGTCCATCTCTCCGCGCCGGTCCTCCTCGATCCACTCCTCACGCAGGCCTTCGGCTGTCTCTGTGGCCTCTGAAACCTCAGACCTCCTATCGCAACCGCTTCTCCACCCGCGCGCGTCCTTTGCGCTTCCGCGCATGTCGCTTCCGTTCTTGGAGCGTAACCAGAGCATGGACATTACTGCGATGCTTGATGCCCGTCTGGATGTCGTCTGGAACCCGCTGCAGGGTGCGCCGTTGCAGCCACCGCAGCAGCCGGCCCCGGCGAGCCTCCCCTGGAAGCCGCGCCAGATGAGCTTTGGCGTACAGAGCATGTTGAACGCCAGCGACGCTGACTTACCGATCTTGGCCACCATGTCGGAAGACCCGTATCCCGTGATGGACGATTCGGTGCGTGATGCCGAAGACCCGTTGAGCCGTATCGAGGAACCGGATGGGGCGAATGCCCCAGCCGGGCTGACCATCACAAACTTCAAGCAGTACTCGATGACATGAGGTGGCATTAGGATACTGATAGAGCTTTAGGAACCCATAGAGATTATACTATTAGCTATGTTGTAGGGCCGCGTAGCGAGATACGGTCTCCCTTACGATTATCCATTAACATTGGGGGAGCAGCTCGAAGTGTATGGATTTTAAAACTTCATCTGACGTTTCTCGGGGCTGCCGTTACACTGTTAAGTCCTAGGTCCTAGGTCCCCGGCCTTACAAGCTCCAGCTCGGATTTTCCTCTTTGTTGTTTACTGGCTTCCATTATTCGTGCATCCTCTTTTCCCCTCTTATATTCTCTTCGCGGTTCTACGCGTATAGCGTTGACAAATATCAGCCTCTGTACTCCAAGTAGCGTAAACGGTAGAACCCCACGTGCATCGACTCAGACATATCTTGCACTTTTTGGATTCACTACGATGCACAATGCTTCACGAAATGGAGGTGCATTGCAGAATCTGAAAGAAACTTTCACTAAAAATAGCACCATGCCGTTTTTCCCCGATTTGCAGGAGGAAGAAAAAGAAAGGGGAAGCGCGATTTTGGGCAGCCAGTGACCTATCTATGTAACCGGTAAAGGGTATATGACTGTTGGTAGTGCATGTGGCTCTTTTGGAAGCTCAATAACAGGCAGCTGTGGCATTTTCTTAAGCTCGGAATGGAGATATTCAATAAGCTTCTGAGGCACTAGTTACCCCTGCCTGAAGCCTGGCCGTGCCATGCACCATGGATAAAATTCCCCCTCCAACAACGGTCGCTAGTTTACAGACTAAGGAAACTGAGCTTACAATAATTGTCGAAAGAAATGTTAATTAGTTTACAAAAATCAATAGACATTGTACGTCAGATAGGAAAGATAAATACTTCTTACAACATCAAAGCGGCGGCAGCGGCAAAGACACCACCGAGAGCAACGTTGGCAGCCAAAGCGTTAGCGGCACCAGTGTGGGTGGAGACGACGGCTGGAGAGGAGGCGTGGGCCGAAGTGGCTGCGGTGGTGGCGTGGGCCGAGGTGACTGGAGCTGGAGCAGCAGTGGTTGGGGCAGTGGTGGCTGGAGCAACGACAGCTGGAGCGGTGGTGGCTGGAACAACAACAGCTGGAGCGGAGCTGGCTGGGATGATGGAGGTGGTGGCAATGACGGTCTTAGAGACACCAGCAGTGAGTGGGCAGTAGGTGGTGTACTCAGTAACGACACCGCCAATAGTCTTGGTGACAACAGTGACACCGGTCTCGACAGTCTTCACAACACCGGTCTGGGTGAGTGGACAGTAAGTGGTGTACTCAGTAACAACATTGTCAACGGTGGTGGTGATAACAGTGTAACCGGTGGTGGCGGTGGTGGTCTGGTTGCCAATGGTAAGAACCAAGGTGGTTTCTGGAGCGATGAGCGCAACAGTGTTACCTGGGTCAAGGACACCGGAGGAAACGGTGACGTTGGTGTAAAGAGCAGAAGCAGAGGCAGCAGAGGCTAAAGCGACAGTAGAGAACTTCATTGTAATAAGCGAGTGGTAGAGGTAAACTGAGTTATACTTAAAGAAGAAAGAGAAAGGCTCTGGGTATAATTTATTTTTATCTAGCAGCGAGAAGGGGATATTTATATGGTATTCAGGAATGTGTCGGTGCGGGCTCCTTATTTTCCGCCCACACCGAATTCCAAGAGATTGTTGTGGTGCGAGCCGGTTCTTGAAACAAAGGCTATGCATAATGTATTGTTTTTCTGTCCGCATTGAGATGCGTCATAGCACAGTTGCATGCATACGATGCACGAAATTGTGTGGGAATTGTGCCATTTGGCGAGCAAATCGGGAATTCCTCCTTGAAGGGAAAACATTTGCCGATCCCACTACTCATACGGCTATGTACTGGATACGGAATTAGTCTCCGGGTAGCGTATTTCCTGCATGGATTTTCCTCTGTCTCTGCAGTCTGTGCATAATACCGTGCATATCGAGTAGGCAAATTCCCTTTCTGGGGCCAAGAATTGTTGTCGAGCAGGTTATAAATAGATTATGTCGTGTATCCCTTACTAATCAGCACCTATGAGAGGTTTGTCTAAATTTCCCTTCCATGTTGGGTGGCGATAGCCTTTTATCATGGATAAAGCTTAGACCCGCTCCTTGTTTATGCCAATTTTGGTTTCTTTTTGGCCGTGGCTGGGTCCTTTAAGACTCGTTTCGTTAAGACCTACCAGCTCTGCGCCCCATACTTTGTCGGCTGACTCCGTGAAGCCCCTTTTCCGAGAAATCGTCTGTTGGCCTCTCCGAAAATAGTTTCCTATGCTAAGCCATGCCCGCTTTGTAATTGGTGGTCCGGTGTGTCATATGGCGTGACGCCTACAAAGATACGCTAGCCCCTTGGGGATGGCATACATCACAGTGCAGCCTCATTAAATTGATACTGACCGGGTTGGAGCAAGTCTAGATGGTGTCATGGGCATTCTGTGGTCCGTTCGACATGGGACACCCCCAATTTCAGGAAGAGCCGGAGGAAAAGTTTTCAAATATCTTGCAGGTACACAACTCACTGTTGTCTATCGTTCGCTAGTTTGTTTATAACGTATGGCCAGCAGTAGTGTGAAACAGCGAAATACCAAGTTGCCGCTCGGAGCCGTATCTTCACTTACTAAGGGCCACGGAAAATCAGATATCTAGCCTCGAGTATGCAGACGACAGCCTCGTACCCTCCTTGTTGTGACCCTGGAAGGGGAAATGTATCCTGCACTGTTTCACACTAGTGAACCCACTAAGCGTCGTGCTGTAGAGATCAAGGATATTTTCTATATATAGAACTGGAGGCAAATAGTTACAGCACCCTGCACGCAGCACCAGGGCCGTGGTGGGTGCCGTTGTAATAAAAATACCGCCTCTTGTCCCAGCACTATATGTGAGACTGGGTCGGAGCTGTTTGACTAGTAGATTGTAACGCGTAATACTCCTAGGTACCGCATAAACGGAAATTCGAAAGCGGTGCAGTGAAGGCCATGGGTCCAGGGAAGATTCCGCTCACAAAGCGCACTATAACCTTACATTATATAAAAGTATATGTTTTCAAACCGGCTGAACCCTAAATGCTGGTGAAACTCGTCGTGAGAAGAAAAACAGTGTTTAATACCTACTTTTGATAGGGGCTGTGGCCATTGAACGCCGCACCATAAGTAGAATTTTACCTCCGACACACTTATGTTCTTCTATCTTTCAAGGTCTCGGGAGCCTATGTGACCGAGACACTTGATTAAATATTTGAAGCCAAAATTATAAATTAATCGTATGTTTAACTATATATTGCGTCGGAAGTCCAATGTGGAATGTGTATATCTGAGCATATCTAATTAATTTTCTAACTAATAATACATATAGAATTAACCTGCGCCAAAGTTATCCGCGGTTCTTACTCAAACATACCTACATATCCAGGTGAACCGTATGAAATTAAATATTCGTTACCTTTGACACATATAAGCAAGCCGATAGAAGTTCGAGTTCAGTTCTTGAAGTCATAGTCACCCGTAATATACACATATATATTCCTTCACACGGGTATATCCACGCTGCAACTTTGCCGCACCCTCTGAACACGTAAAATTTGAACTCACATGCGTCCAAACCGTTCAATCCTGTCCGATTCGTGTCCAGACCAAATTTTCAGTGGGCGCACGTTATATAACCCGCCGCACACTACGAGCCCTGGCGCTGCTGCATAATAAATTTTTCATGCATATCAGACCCCATTAATTAAAATACAAGTGATACCAGAGTACCCCGCCACAGCATGTCGGACGTGAAGCCTTTGTTGAGGGCAATTAGCCATTATGGCCCCATTACTGCGTTGAAATTCAACTCACATTACCTCCTTGCGGCGTTTGGCTGCGTCTTGCGCGTGTACAACCTCGACGACAACAGCTTGGTGTTCGAGAGGCAGCTCCTTGCGAAGAATAAAATACACGGCATCACCATTGATAACGACCGGGTCGCGGTATTTGGGGGCAGAAACGTGCTCTTTACCGATTTCGCCACGTTGCTCCAGTACGACCCTGCCCAGGAGGTTTTCCAGGAAAAAGCCGTGGGCGACTGGATCTTTTCGGTTGAGTTTTCCGGAGGCTCTGCGTTGATCTTAACGGCTCACAATGTGGTGTTGGAAGTGGATCTCACCAGTTGTGCCATTCTCCATCACCACACCTGCGGCGAAAAGTCCATTTTGTACGCGGGCTCCATCCGCGTGGTGGAAGGAAAAGACCCGATTGTGTGTGCCGGTACGGTCATGGGAGGGATTCAACTCTGGAACATGAGAACCAGTGAGCTTTTACACACCTTGGTAGGTCACGAAGGATCCATTTTTGGCTGTGAAATCTCCCCCGATGGTGCCCGTATCGTCTCCTGTTCCGACGACAGATCCATTAAGATCTGGGATTTTGAAACGGGCAAGAACATCGCTACCGGATGGGGCCACGGCTCGCGTATCTGGCACTTGCAGTTTTTCGACGCCAATCACAATTATACCAAGGTGTTCAGTTGCTCGGAGGACTTGACCGTCAGAGTGTGGACCCTTGACGTTGCTGCCGGGGAGTTGGCCTGCAACGAAACCTGGGACTGCCACTTGGGGAGACACGTGTGGTCAGGGGATGTGAACGAAGAGAAGCAGATTGCGGCCAGTGGGGGCGCGGACGGGAGACTTCGTCTCCATCTGTTGAAGCCGTACCTCAGTGATGGCTTCAGCTACAACAGAGAGTCCTTTAGCTTGGCAGAAATCGCCGAAGCTACGGGCGTGGAGTTTTTCAAGAAAGAGATTTTGAAACAGTACGTGGCAATGGCCTCTGGGGTGCTTGCGGTTTCGTCCAGGGGAAAATTTTTCCTCTACAACTTTGAAAAATGGGTCTTTCTCTTCCAGGACGACAAGTACGCCGAGTTTGCGATTCTCAACTGCATTGAAACGACTGACATCGCAACAGTGACTGCCAGAAGCGGTGATATCTTGCTTTTGAAGTTTAAGGACGGGCAGATCGAGACCCGCAAGGAGGTCCAGGAGACCAACTTGGAGGGTGCCAAGATTGCCAACGTTTTGTCTGTCAATACCGATGGAAAGTTGGTGCAAATGACCGATTGCCCGAACCCGAAATACCCATACATCTTGCGAAGCATTGACCAAAACTTGGACGTCGCCACCACTATCCTTAGCAAGCCTCCACAAACGTTCACTACAACCTTGTTGACCTATGACGCCATCAATAACTGGTTGATCATTGGTTCCCGCTTCGTCACCTTTGCTGTCTATGACTTGAACGTCTCTGGAACCGTAGAGATGGCTGATGTCTTTAAGCGACTCTGCCCTGGCGATACCATCTCTGCCATCAGCGTGACTGAGAGCAAGAAAAACGCGGTTATTCTTTTGGTGATTGTCAAAGACGGGCAGTACTTGTACGTCGAGCTTACCAAGGCCGATAAATTTTCCTTGAAAATCTTACACAAGAACATTCTTTCCAAGGGGTTCTTGGAGGGCTCGTTTCACATCGGCCAGGACCTCTTCTTCTACGGATTCAAGAGCTCGCACTTCTACATTTGGAACGAAACCAGGCAGATGGAGGTGTTTTCAGAGTTCTGCGGCGGGCCTAAGAGGCAATGGCGGTTAGTCAGGACCGCTGAGGACGCCGCCCACCTCCACTACAAGTTCATCTTCACCAAAGCAGACCTTGTCATCCGGACGTTCAGTATCGAGAAAGACACCTGTGCAAAGTTGTTGACAACCGGAACCAACGGACGGGAGATCAGAAGTGTGAGTGTCTCACCAAAGCTCTCTGGCTACAGATTGATGGCCACCGCCTCTGAAGACGCCACCATCCGCTTGTCGAAGCTCACCGGCACGGGGGCCGTGGAAAACGTCTGGCAGTTGAGAGCCCATGTTTCGGGGTTGCAACAGGTCAAGTTTATCACCGATGAGTATTTGATGTCCTCCGCTGCTAGAGAAGAGTTTTTCGTCTGGAAGATCACTGACAGGGCTGGTAAGGTTCCGCTAATCACGGATTTCGCGGTTGTGGCTCCAAGCTCGTCCAACCCCGATTTGAGAATCATGGACTTTGACACCATGCCTGTGTGCGAGGGCAAGGCCTTGTCCGGTTTTGTGATCTCTACCGTGTACTCTGACTCCACGATTAAGATCTTCTACTTCGACATCGAATCTAAAAGCTTCACTCTCTTGGTTTCCGACCACTACACCACCTGTTGCGTGTGGCACGTTAGGTTCATCTTTGTCAAAGAAGTCGGCCGGTTCTACTTGCTCACCGGTGCCACCGATGGCCACGTTGCCATCTGGGACATTACCACCAATATCATCGCCAATTTTGCCTACACCGCGTGCTGTAAGGCTGATTTTTGTTTGAGCGTGAAGGAGCTTGGTGGCAAGGTGTCGCAGCTAGGGCCGTTATTGGTCAAACAGGCAATCCACCAGAACGGAATCAAGGACTTGGAGATTGTCTCGTATGGGGATAAGCTTGTTTTGGTAACCGGTGGTGACGATAACGCCCTTGGAGTGTCCCAGATTTCGTTCACCAAGGGAATTTCCTTTGTCACTACCCAGTTTTTGGAGAACGCCGCGTCGTCCACCATCACGGCGGTTTGCCAGATCGATAGCACCAAGCTCATGGTGACGTCTGTGGATCAGTACATCAGAATCTGGGAGTTGAATGGTGACGGCAGCGAGGTTACATTATTGGATGAGCGTTACACCACGATTGCCGATACCGGCTGTGCTACAGTGACGGAGTTTGACGGCGCCAAGGTGGGGTTGATTGCCGGGGCCGGGTTGAGTGTCTGGGGATTGAATTAGAATTTGTTATACGTGAAATACAATGATAATGAGAGATTGGATGTATTGGTGGAGGGGATTTGGGAACAGCTTGAGAAGACGTTGGGGGGTGATGACCCGACGAGTGGAGTGATTTGGGTTCTCTAGGAAAAGAAAGGCATAGGAACTCCACGAAAATCTCACCCTACCGAGGTAATATTGATATCTGAATGTAGATATGTCTACGAGAGCCCAGAGTGGGGATAATGGAAGGTAACAGGAATTGTTATAGTTAGCTATATCCAGGTGACTCTTTCGATATTTAGAAGAGCCTGATTTACTAGATCCCGGCTCAGGCCAATTATTAGCCCAATTGTTATACCTATGGGCTAAACTAGCACATATGTAGCGGAGCGCTAGCCTGCGTTTACAGTGAGGTCCGAGGTATGTAACTGGGCCAGAAAATATCACATCTAAATTAAAATACATGCCGAATTCCATGATTTTATATTTCATACTAACCACAGCCCTTTACGCTATCCATATACTACAATAAGCGGGGTTACATCAGAAGTTTTGTGCACCGCGCCCATGTCGGAAACAATGAGAGTGCCAGGGTCAAGTTGCAGGCAGCTGTATGACGTGTGGCCAAGTGCTCATAACCACATATTGATCTACTAGCAGATCCAGAACCGTCCAGCCTTACATCGTCAGCATGTGTCGGGGCTGCAAACGAAACAATGACAGAGAAAAAGCTGCCAATTCAACAGCTTCAAGGTCGAATAATTGCGCGATTTTAACTAGCGTAGCTTGATACACTCAGCATTGACCATTATGAATTCTTGCGGGCTTTCGATTTTTGCATATGCAGAGGCCTACAGACTCGCCGCCTTAGGGCAAGATATCCGGCAAGGGACTCGGTTGGGAAATACATATCCTGCACCGAGCTGAAAAACAGGCATGGTATTTTGGTTGCCAGAGTTTTCATCCGAGGCTATTGAAGCGTTTAATTTCAAGTTTTGGACCGAAAATCGTCTAGGCATAAAACGTCTCCGTTTCGACTCGCAGGCCACTGTAATTCCACTTCTGATTGCCGTCAATACAGCTCTCCAAGATGAGCAGACAAAACGCGACTCTTGCACGCAGCATTTCCGACTCCCAGAGTGTTGTCTCCTATGCGGAAACTAGCACAGATAACGAGAGTTTTGCCACAGCCTTTAGTGACCTTGATAATATCTCGACCAGATCTAGCGGCCGGGGAAGTTTCAGTGGGGTTGAAGATACCACCTCCATTGCCGAGACTATTATTCCGGATGAAACGGCCACTGGCATCGTTATTGCTCCTACCAGCACCGTTGTTGCTCCTACCAGCACTGTTGTTGCTCCTACCAGCACCGTTGTTGCTCCTACCAGCACTGTTGTTGCTCCTACCAGCACTGTTGTTGCTCCTACCAGTACTGTTGTTGCTCCTACCAGCACTGTCGTTGCTCCTACCAGCTCCGTCGTTATCCCGCTCGATAACACCACCATTCGCACTGTTACACAGGTTCCCGCCCCGGATTTAGAGTCATTGGAAAAACGAGACTCGGAGCCTGCTCCTGAAACCCTGATCGCTGCTTCTGCTCCCATAATCACAGAACAGCCGGGTGCCACCTCTCAGCCAGTAGAACAGCCGGTTAAGGAGAGCACTACGCACTCTGATTCGTCCGTGAGCCCTTCGCCTGCGGGGACGGAATCCTTCGGGGAGCAGCAGCAGCAGCATGCCCGGAAGGAGAGATACAAACATGATCCCAAGAACGACTGTGTGCTGTTCTGGTTGTCCGCAGCTGGATGTTATGGGGTCTGCGGCGACTGTCCATGCAACACCACCAGCGGCACCTTGGCCTCTGTGTTGACTAACTGTTTTGCGGTGCTCTCGGTCAGTGGGTGCGCTGCCTGTATTACCGTGTGCCACGACACCTAGGCCTCATTTCTAATATCTAATTTCCTGCAATATCCCTTGTTTTTATACGTCAACGGTAGTGAAAAACCTCAAATTTTTTACAGATTTTATGGTATTCTCTCCGTCGTAAAAGATACGTCTCCGTAACTATATCACTTTTATCTATTACCGTACTATCTCATCCACTGGGAGTTTCGCTTGAAGCTTGGTTTATATAATCCTGGTATCTCAACGCGACAGCAACTTTTTCAAGCCCAGAAACGTATCAATGTATATCCCCGATACTTTATTATAAAGGAAAAATAACCCCCACCAGATGAATCTTCAAACTCCCCAGGTGGGCCAGATATCGGGTTATCCGTTCTAACTGTAGACAAACGTGCATGGCTGCGTATCTAATCTAAGGACTTATAGCCGAAATTGAGACTTCAGATCAACTATGTACGTCTAACCTCCTATCGGCTGTCTGTCAGGGCTAGAACCCCGGAACCAAAAGACCCCGAAACTCTTTACCAAGCCATCTCAGGGGTTACATGGGGTTATGTATCTAGCCAGGAATATTTTTGCGTTTAAATCCTTGATGGTTCAGTCGCCCCGGACCCTCACAGCCAATCCACGATTAGCCACCCCCCACTAGAGATACTGCAAACCCCGTGGTACGCCTATAGATAAACCTGCAAGTATAGTTCCATTTCAAGTAAACGCTGTACGGGCGTCCGCCCCGATAAGCTCTGTTGTGCGGGATTCTGTCACATCACGTGCGCACAGGTGATCTTCTAAGGTTTAGGCACACGGATGAACCACTAAAGTTTGGGCGCGCGGCTACACAATCTAAGGGACGACCAATACTAATGAACTTCTGCCCCCCTAGATGAATCAAGCAAATATTCCCCCAAACTTTGAATGTTTGGATCATAACTCGCCACTAAACCTCGTAAGACAGGATAGAACCCTGAAGGGAAACAAGCATTGTAGCGCCCCTGAGCACGTGTACTACCTAACCACGTGAAAATAGCATTTGTCAGCCACCTGCATCGTATGCACCTCTCTAAATCCTTGGTATAAAGCTCGACATATTCCCACCAACGACGGGATTTTTCATGCTACTGTCCCTGAGAGATCTTTATCGCAAACGTCAACCATTCCCGGCCGATCTGTTGCACAACCCCCCGCGACATCCCCCTGAGTCTAGTCTGCGCATCCTTTCTGTGTTCGCGCATTTCTTTTTTTTTTTTTTTCCAGCCCGAGCTTTTTTTTTTTTGAAAGGCCTCCTCTTCTTCACATTTCTGTACACTCAGACAAAACATATAACTTTGCACTCAAAAGACATTCAAAAGACATATAGTTCGCAAAGAAACAACTAAGATGGGCTTGTTATCGCTTGGAACTCCGTTGACGTGGCATGAGGCCAAACAGCACAATAACTTGGTGCGCTCCAACGGGATTGAGCAGTTGATCAATATCCACCGCCAAAGCGCCGCGCGCACGCACGACAAGTTCTACTGGGGGGATGAGGTCGAATACATGTTGGTGAGGTTCGACGCCGCCCTGTCTCGTGCAACCTTATCCATCGACGAGGATGAGATCTTGAACGTGTTGCACGACGCGCACCCGGAATGTGTCGCGCACAATATCTCCTTCCACCCGGAATATGGCAGATACATGTTGGAGGCCACACCGGCCAGACCGTACGACGGGCGTGCGCTCGCGGACTATCTCTACGTGGAGCAGAACATGGCCTACAGACGGTCCGTATCGCGCGCACACCTTCCGAGGGACGTGGTGCCGCTCACGATCACGGCGTTCCCACGCATGGGGTTGGCGGGCTTCACCTCGCCACCGCACGAGCCAAACGGCGTAGCGTCGCAATCGCTCTTCCTCCCGGACGAGATCATCAACCGCCATGTGCGCTTTCCTACGTTGACCGCAAACATCCGCGCGCGCCGCGGCAGCAAGGTTGCAATCAACTTGCCGATCTTCCGTGACACGCGCACCGACATGCGTGATGCTCTGATTCCCGCGACGCCGCGTGGCTTGTTCACGCACGACTCTGAACCGTACCAAGGCGCCGCCTTACCTGGCCACGTCTACATGGACTCTATGGGCTTCGGGATGGGCTGCTCGTGTCTCCAGATCACGGTGCAGGCACAAGACATTAATGAGGCGAGATACCTTTACGACTCTTTGGCTAACTTTGCGCCGGTGCTTTTGTCTGCGACGGCCGCGTCGCCCATCTTCAAGGGCTATCTTGTGGCGCAAGATGTGCGGTGGAACGTTATTTCTGGTGCGGTGGACGACAGAACGCCGTACGAGCGCGGCGTGGCACCGCTTGCGGAGCACAAGCTCTTTGGCGGGTTGGACGTGGACGAGGCGCGCACGGACAAGCACGCGCCGCACGCGCGCGACGGGAAGGACATTCAGCGCATTCCCAAGTCGCGCTACGACTCCATCTCCAACTACCTCAGCGACGAGCACACCACCGGGTACTATAAGCCGGAGTATAACGACGTCGCGGCGCCTATCAACGCAGGGGTGTACGCGAAGTTACAGGCGAACGGCTTTGACGCAGCGTTGGCGAATCACTTTGCGCATTTGTTTATCCGCGACCCGTTGGTGTTGTTCTCCGAGCGGGTGAGCAACTCTGACAATGCGGTGGATAATGACCACTTTGAGAATCTCCAGTCGACGAACTGGCAGACATTGCGCTTCAAGCCGCCGGCTCCGTTCGTGGAGGGCCAGACGGCGGCGGATCCTGAAACTCCCGGTTGGCGCGTTGAGTTCCGGCCGATGGAGATTCAGGTGACGGACTTTGAGAACGCGGCGTACTCTGTGATCATTCCATTGTTCGCGCGCGCCATCTTGAAGTACAAGCCAAACTACTACCTTCCGTTGAGCCAGGTGGATGCCAACATGGTGACTGCGCATGGGGTGAATTCTGTCTTGGAGGGCAAGTTCTATGCCCGAAAGCATACCGGGCTCGATGTTTCCGACTTTGCGGGGTTCGACCTTGGCTGGTTCGACCGCAAGATTTCCCAGTTGCAGAGCCACACCGCGCCTGTGGCGACCGAGAAAGATGAGTATAACCTTGCGAATGGCGTGGCGGTAGCCACGGGTGATGATTCGGTCGTGGAGGTGTCTGTGAACGACGTGATCAACGGGACGGCCACCCAACCCGGCTTGGTTCACATGGTGACAAAGATTATTGCTTCCACGTATCCAGATGCATCGGTGGAGCAGTTAGAGCAGCTTCAGGCATACTTGAAGTTGGTGTCGTACAGGGCGAGTGGGAAGCTTCCAACGTTTGCCAAGTACGCGAGGGACTTTGTGGTGGCGCATCCCGCGTATGAGGCTGATTCACGTGTAAGTGAGCAGGTTAACTACGATTTGTGCGTGCGGGTGGCGCAGGTGACGGCGTATGAGGAGGTGGGGTTGTTTGGGAAGGAGTTGGGTGCGTATTTGATGAAGCACAGGAGGTAGTCAAGGTTAGTTATTGGATTTTGCTGAAGCTGGAACGAGGTTTTTTTTTCCAGGCGATGATATATTGCTGATGGTGTATGCTACTGGGGGATCCGTATGACTGGGAGTTCTGGGTTTAAATCCTGTGACATGGCCGATAGATTTGCTAATGTTTTTAATCGAGAAAGCAAACTCTGCGGAATCTTTCAGCTTGACCCAGGCTTCGCTTGTCTATTAAAGATCTGACTCATATTATCGAAAATGAGCTTTCATCGTACTTCTTTTTTCCCCCTTTTGATTATATCAGACCGCATGCTTTTTTTTTATCCTGGCGTATTTTGTATTTATTTTCTGTTTTACTTTTTCTTGCATGTCAATCCATATAGTTTAGCATACCAGGTTGAAGAAATAAGGTTGGTCGCAGATACGCTCCTGTATTAACCTGATCAACGCTCACCTATATGTGTAAAGGGTGATTTTAAACGCATTTAATGCCGTAATCATCGATTGGCGGTTGTCACCCTGGGGATTTCCCGTGACATAGCTGGGGTTCATGTACTGTTCATAACCAGTCACCTGTACAGGTTACTGCGTACGGCACCACGAGTAGCTCTCGACTACCTATAACTACTCTCGGTAGTGCTAAATCTCATCTGCTTTTTTAAACCGAAGCTATACTGTTGTAGGCCCTCTGGATTATTCATAGCCCCAAGGCTTATGCTATGTGAATTCTCGGTCGTGCCCCACCCCATTATGAGCCCTTGCTGGGCGCAATTTTTTCGCCGTCGTCCCGCTGAGCAACACGATAACGACGACGTCTCCACTTTTTGCGGCTCTCAGCTCTCTTATACCACTACTCTTACCACCTTCTCTCTATTACCGCCTATTTAATCCGCCGATTAACCTATTCCTGTCACTCAATTTATAGATTTCGTCCTTCCTCACTCAATTCAAGATCAGATATTAGCCACTGAGTTACATCTTGCTACACATTCAATCGAACCATTCCATACCCTCCAATTTAAGAGCACAATGTCTGACTGGAAACAGGAACTAAATATCCCGACCCGGGACACGCGTCCGCAGACCGAGGACGTGACCAAGACTAAAGGAAACTCCTTCGAGGATTTCTATCTCAAGCGCGAGTTGTTGATGGGCATTTTTGAGGCCGGGTTCGAGAAACCGTCGCCGATCCAGGAGGAGGCCATTCCGATGGCGCTTTCCGGCAGAGACATCCTTGCCAGAGCGAAGAACGGGACGGGAAAGACCGCCGCGTTCTGCATCCCCGCGTTGGAGAAGGTCAAGCCGAAGTTGAACAAGATCCAGGCATTGATCTTGGTGCCAACCAGGGAGTTGGCATTGCAGACGTCGCAGGTTGTCAGAACCTTGGGCAAGCACTTGGGCGTTAGCTGCATGGTCACCACCGGAGGCACGTCGTTGCGTGACGACATTTTGCGCTTGAACGACCCAGTGCACGTGCTTGTGGGCACCCCGGGCAGAGTCCTCGACTTGGCGTCTAGAAAGTTGGCAGATCTTTCCGAGTGTCCGTTATTCATCATGGATGAAGCTGATAAGATGTTGTCGCGTGAGTTCAAGGTGATTATCGAGCAGATCCTTGCCTTCTTCCCAGAAGACCACCAGTCACTCTTGTTCTCGGCCACGTTCCCGATGGCTGTCAAATCTTTCATGGAGCAGCACCTCACCAAGCCGTATGAGATCAACTTGATGGACGAGTTGACGCTCCGTGGGATCACCCAGTATTACGCGTTTGTCGAGGAGAAGCAGAAGTTGCACTGCTTGAACACGTTGTTCTCGAAGTTGCAGATTAACCAGTCCATCATCTTCTGCAACTCCACCAACCGCGTGGAGTTGTTGGCCAAGAAGATCACCGACCTCGAGTACTCGTGCTACTACTCGCACGCCAAGATGCCCCAGAGTGCCAGAAACAAGGTCTTCCACGAGTTCCGCCAGGGCCAGGTCCGTAACTTGGTTTGTTCTGACTTGTTGACCAGAGGGATTGACATTCAGGCTGTGAATGTTGTTATTAACTTTGATTTCCCCAAGACCGCAGAAACGTATTTGCACAGAATCGGGAGATCTGGCCGTTTTGGCCATCTTGGGTTGGCTATCAACTTGATCAACTGGAACGACAGATTTAACTTGTACAAGATCGAGCAGGAGTTGGGTACCGAGATTAAGCCGATTCCGTCATCCATTGATGCATCGTTGTATGTCGCCGAGAACTCTTCTGCCATCCCTACTCCGTTCAAGATCGACACCTTGCCAAATGCCAACCAGCAGAACAATAGAGGTGGGTACGAGTACAAGGGCCAGCCAACGCCTAATGACAATCAGCAATATGTCCAGCTGTACCAGCAACAACAACCGCAACAGCAACAGCAGCAACAGCCACAACAGTACCAGCAGCCACCTCAGGGCTACCCACCTCAGGGCTTCCCACCACAAGGTTACCAGCAGCAATACCAGCAGCCACCTCAGGGTTACCCACAGGGCTTCCCGCACCCTCCACAATAATCTTTGTTGACTCATGTGACTTCCCTCCCGACTGTATATTAACCAAAGCCCGGTCTGTCTGTATACTAATTTTTATCTCCAAAATGCACTTTCCAAAAATAAAAATCCAAAAAAATCTTTTTATCCTTTTCTTCTACATTTTTGTCTTTTGTTTTGTTTTTGTCTTGGAATTACCTTGACCGGAGCCATCACTGACTCCTATTTTTGTTTGGCTTATGACTTTTTTTTCTTGATGTCGTTAATGACTTTTTTTTGGACTTGGTCCTGACTTTTTTCTTTTTTTTTTTTTTTTATTTTTTTATTTTTTTTATTTTTTTTATTTTTTTTATTTTTTTTGCCCTTCGCATGCTCTCAGAGATGAATCTATATACAAGCATTTCGGTATTAATACGTTTGATACCGTACTGGCGACTGTTGAATTGTAAGTGCGGTGGAGTTATGTACCAATATCATAGAAAGGAAGGTTTTCATGTATGAGGGATATTCCTAGTATACTTCAGCAATTGCTTTCATCTTCTCCAAAGTGACTATCCTTTGACTAGCCTTCCCTCAGCTGCCGAGATACTATATTGATCTATATTGGGACTTCAACTGCTCTATTATCATTGATAGAGAAGGAACAAACGGCTAGTTTCCTATGGGGTAGAGCATGACTATTGACAGCCCAATACACTCTTACCACTATGGCTCATCCAATAGAGATTTGTAACAAATTATAAAACACGAGGTCAACTAATGTTATAGCAAAACGACGCATGCTTTGATAGACTTCCACTCAGCTACAAGCCTTTTCGCCACCAGGACTATAACGCTCGATTGATATGTACATATGAGGGCGTTCAACGCTTAAAGTATATCTAGATTATGTTTGCTTAATCTTTATAAACAAAATCCGTGAGCCCCGGATTCCATTTTAACCTAGCAGCTCGGTGGTGAATTCGCGGCCTGCCGCATCTAAGCCTCCTTTCTACGGAGATACCCACTTCACCAACAACAACTCTGAGATTGGAAACACTCCAACATTATTAAACTAAACAACAAAGGCGCTATAATCCCACTACATTCCCCCTCCTAGTCGTGTTACAAGCATGCTCTACTGCCCCTTCTCATTTTTGCTAGTGACAGTTAGGTCGTGCGCGGACCGGTAGCTAGCAAGAAGCCATGTCACACAAAGCTCGAGGCAATGGTTAGCGCTGACATCCCCAGCCCTACTTGTTTTTGATCCCCTTTTCGTTGCACTTGGTACCAGAGCTGGTCCCATCATATCATTACTAGACATTGCCACCTTCCCTCCACCCCCGCGTACCACTTGCTTTTAGTAACCCCAGCCATACCGTTCTGTATCATGCTAAGACAGCCATCATCTCTCTCCGATAGACGAAACAAGAAGTTGCCGCCGGCGCCACTAGCCACATTGGACTCCATTAATCTCACATTGGACCCCAAAAGTCCGCACAACGCGTCCAAATTCTCCAATATACGCATCGAACAGGTGACGCCGAGCCAGGTGACGCCGAGCCAGACGGACTTCCGCACGCCAAACGACCACCTATTACAGCCAAAGAGCTTGAAGCGGAAGAATCTCAAGCACTTGAAGATCAGTGGCAGGCCGGCAGAAAATTCACAGACGCCCGACGCGCGCACGCCGACGGAGTTGCTCATCCTGACGCTCTCGGGCCTTGACATGAACGACCTGGACACCAACAAGATCTTTCTCAACTCGGCCGACTTGCTCACGCTCAAAACGTTGGGTGCAGGTAGCTCGGGAACCGTGTCGAAGGTGCTCCACCTCCCTACAAAACAGACTATGGCGAAGAAAATCATCCACATCGACGCGACGCAGACCGTCCAAACACAGATAGTGCGCGAGTTGCGCATCATGGGCGAGTGCAACCTGCCGTACATCATCGGCTTCTTCGGCCTGTTCCTTAGCGAGGGCCATGTGATCATTTGCATGGAATACATCGACTGCGGCTCGCTCGACAAGGTGTTGCGGCTCAGTGGGCCGTTTCCGGAGTTCATGTTGAAGCAGGTGTGCTATTGCGTGTTGCAAGGACTAATATACTTGTACGACACCCACAAGATCATCCACCGCGACGTGAAGCCGTCGAACGTGTTGGTCAACTCCCGCGGCGAGATGAAGCTTTGCGACTTCGGGGTCAGCCGCGAGTTGATCAACTCCCTCGCCGACACCTTTGTGGGCACCAGCACGTACATGTCACCGGAACGCATCCAAGGCGGTGTGTACTCCATCAAGGGTGACGTGTGGTCACTCGGGCTCATGTTGATTGAGCTAGCGGCGGGCTCGTTTCCGTTCGGGGACAACTCCACTGTTGCTCCGGAGGGCATTTTGGATTTGCTCCAGAGCATTGTGAATGAGGAGCCTCCAACCTTGGATCGCACGCGCTTCAGTGCCCCGTTGTGTGACTTTGTAGATTGTTGTTTGCGCAAGGAGAAACAGCGCAGCGGCCCTTGGGAGTTGCTCGACCATCCGTTCTTGCAGGGCATGAGCGACGGGGTGTATGACAAGGAGATCCGCGCGTGGGCCAAGAAGGTGCGGAGGATACAGAAGGGCAAGGTGTAAGATGGAGAAGAAGCTTGTACGCCAATTGAAGAACGTAGAATTTAATAAATGATAGCGTAGTTTATGCCCGTAAGCTTTGTTTCGATCGCTGACTAGTTTTAGGCAGTGGCTCATCTGTGATACTCGAGATGTAATCGAGAAACTTCGAGTTGGCGTGAATATTGTGATTGGAATAAAGGCACCTCACGCTAATCCCAGTGTGGTTTTGTCAGGGCATACCTGTTATTGGTAGAGTAGAATGCAATATCCAGACCCGAGTTAGTGATTTGTCGTATGCGTACTTAGCAAATCTACACCGGAGGGAGCCCTAGGAATAAGGGTCGTTACATATGAATCAACCAGGGCTATACGAGATTCCTACTCTTGATAGCTCTATGAGTAAACTGATCCCTGAACATTCCGCGCTACCCCGATAGATACGAGTTTATTCCAGGAACATCTCCTTCCAGTACTATGGATTCAGCATATCTACGATCCATCTAGAAGACCGACTTGTGGCGCCAGCCTTCGCAATCTGTGATTGATTTACGGCCCAACTAAAACGTAGTTCTTTGACCTAGTCACTGTTCCAATTCCTGGGTGTACTGAAACACCCCTATCGCATACCTAATTTTGGGGTTCTACAGAGATCTTTGCACAGAGTAATTATGAAACGTTCTCTATATATTATACATGTAGCGGAAGCTATAAACAGAAGCCTGCTTTACAGACTTAAACAAAATGGTGAGGGATCGTAAGTCGTGTCAATATTCTTTTATTCGACAGTTGGTCTCTGAGGAGAGCTCTCACGGGCTCTGGAAGCGTCGGCACCGTCTCTTTCGGCGTTTCTGTTTCTGAACCCGTTGACATCATCACCTCTGTTTCTACCACCGCGGCCGCCTCTACCACCACGGCCACCACGGCCACCTCTCCCTCTCCCACCACGGCCTCTACCTCTGCCGCGGAAGGAACTTCTCTCACCGTCTTCACCATCCTTGTGGTTGAAAGATCTTCTTCTAGTCTGGTCGCCGAACTGGTTCTCGGCTCTCTTGAGCTCATTGTACTTGGAGAAGGACATTATGAATAATGGCTTGACAGATGGTTCAATAGCGGCATCAACAGTCTCAGTAGCAACCTCAGCAACAGCTTCAGTAACTGCCGCAACATCTTCGGTAACTTCTGCAACAGATTCGGTGGCTACTTCAGCAGTCTGGGCAGCAGCAGCGGCAGCAGCAGCGGCAACAGCAGCTTCACTCATAAACCCATCTGGGTAGGTCACCTTCTGATCCAAAAACTTGTTAAACTCTTCAGTGTCCTTGAACTCAACAAAAACCTTACCGGTAAAGGCACGGTCTCTCTTCTTCAATCTGACCTGGTTAATCTGGCCAAACTTACTAAAGAACTCTTCGGCCCGTTCCAACGTGAGATCAACCGGGAGATCCTTGACCACAACGGTTTTCTCTAAGACTCTTCTCTTGGCTTCCTCAGCCGGGCCGATTGGGTCCACCCTTCTGACAGACTCTTTGTCCTCAGACAACTCCAAGAAGGTAGAGGTCTGCAAAGCAGCAACAATGGTATCCACCGGTCTGTATCTCTTCATTCTGTTGAAAGTAGCGATGGAGGAAATCTCGACCCAGCCGTCGTTGGCCTGGGTAACGTTCCAGAGGTACTTGTCGTTAGGCAAGTTGGAGTCGGAGAAGTAGAATTCAACCTGCTTCAAAATTTCTTTGCTCAAATCTTCGGTGGACATTATTTTTGGCGTGGGACCGTCTAGCTGTTGTGGGAGAGATAAACAAATCGGCGTATAGATATGTCTGATGTAATGTCCAGTGAAAAAAATCTCTGCGCGCAGGACGTGCGCGCGATCAGAAATGATGGAGCCCTCACATTTGACGCCAGGCGATTTCTGGCGTTGACTTCCCGATTGGGCAAAAGCAGCTATAGCTGCTTTTGGCGTGGGTTACAGTTAGGGGCAAAGACAATTCGGGCTAGCCATTTGGACGCTACGGAGCCCCTGGTATACTATACACAGCGCTAATGCCGGAGAAACGTGACAGATAAACAGTCTACACCATTTAAGAGGGTTTTGGCCGGCCATAGGCAAACATGCATTTTCGGTAGTTATTTACAGGGACGTGAGGTGTTAAATAGAATTGTTGAACGTATAGCCGAGGGGGTACTGACCTCACTGAGGGTATTTATTGAAAGTATAAAAACCTCAGTCCCATACTTTTACCAGTATGCGGTGGGACATGCCCTAGAGGTAGCATTTGATAGGGGAGTTAGCCCAAGACCATCTGAGGAACGGCAAATGCAAAGGTGAAGGCATCTGGGTTAGTTATTAGACCAAAGGAGCAAATTTAAGTGTCATAGTTATGCGTGGGGTACTTGAAGCCGGATGCACGTTAACCATGTATATCATTTCGTCCCTTCCAGCGAATAATATCCTCCTGGGAGCGTTAAGCAAACATGGAGCTCTCCTTACTCGTGGAAATCATAGCATTTTCCATTCAGGCCGCGGTGCTTTACATAATAACCCCTCACATTCCGTGCCGTGGAAGGCGAGAATCGCATCGAACCGACACAACACAGAAGCCGGTAGCTGGGAAAACTTCTGCCAGATGTGCACCTCTCGCTTTTTCTCAACCCTTTCGGTGTACTTGAAGGCGCGGGTGGGGATCATCTTGTACCCCTCGTCAAAACTAGCGTCCCAGCTAGTGCAGATAATGGTGCACCCAAAGTAGCCATGTAACACTTGTAAAGCGTCCACCAACGCAGGATATAGTCTTTCTCCATGCTCTTGGAACTTGAAAACCGATAGGTTATCCACCACGATTGTTTCTAGTGAGTGATGGGAGACATGTGCGAGGGTGGCGCAAACACTTTCTATAGATAGGGCCTCAACCAATTGGCCGAGGGTCTCCGTTCCCCTGAACACCACCGTTTCAGAAGGAGACTGCCACGAATAACCACAATCAAACACTAATACAGCGTCGGAGGCCTGGCTAACAATCGTCTTGAGCACCTCGACCTGCCGCCTGGGACTGGAGAAGATGAGATGTGCAAAATGGACATCAGCGTGAAGAAGGTCAGTGAGATACCGGTTTAGCCTTGGACTTGGCGCCACTATTGAGCTAAGCCGCTTACGGGGGATTTGCTGGAGGGTATCCATTGTGAGGGCTGATAGCGTAAGCAAGTGCAAAGCGCGTCTTGGTATCGTCAAATAGGCTCGGGACAGGCGCCATAGACCAGGGAGTAAGAAGACACGGTTGTTACATTTATATTCTGCAAAATAAAATGCACCACTAATAAGTGGTGTATACTGTATTATTTAGTGAAAAAAAATACGGAATTTGTTTAGGAGAAGCTCTGGAGGATTTGTTGTGCCTCAGGGTTTGATTTACGCGGCTGTATGCACCGCCACATTGTTTACCTTGTACTCTCACGCCACGCCTTCTAGCCAAACATCCGTCGGAAAGAAGTGCATTCTACGCGTGTATGTTTAGCGGAGGACTTTATACGCAAATTTCCTTTAACCTTTGTGGTCAAAAAATTAAATGGTAGCCTCAGATTTATGGTTGATATCTAATTATGTGTACTGCTCCGTCCAGACCTTTGGTTGCTACACTTGATTTGTAGCGGGTTCAGTCACGAGACGCGGTGGTTTCCGTCTCCTGCGGCTTGTTTCCTTTCGCTCGTTTTGCCGCTATTTTCCGCGTCTGTTTACAGATCAGAACTCACCCTAACACACCAACACATGATTGCCACTAGATTATTACCATATTATCCTCAGATCACCACCAGTTTCATTTGATTTCACATCGCATATAGGCACAAATACAGATACGTTAAAAACATACGAATATGCCAGGGATAGTTGACGGTGAAAGCCTCTACGCTATCGTCACCTCGACGTCTCCCCATCAAACCAAACTCGACCGCCTTGCGGACTTTAAAACACACGTGAAACGCGACTTTGTGGACCTCCGTCAGGTACCACGCTACTTCGAAGCGCTTTCTGTGGCCACAGACGCCAGTGACCCGCAAATCGCGTCAGTAGCATTCCTGGCGATGTGCCACTTGGTCAAGCGAGTCAGCATGCAAGACCGCACCGGTGTCTTGGCGCCTTGTGCGTACTTAGTACTCCCACTTCTTTTGGCAAAGCTTGTGGATCTGCGGAATTCGCTCCGCGTCTCCGCAAAGAAGGCGCTAGAGGCGTACTGGTTGGTGTGCCCCAGCGAGGTTGCTCAGGCGATGCGTGACTCTGGCCTTGCCCACACGAACACACGGGTGAGAATCGAGTGCTTGGCATGGCTCCAGCAGTTGGTGGAACAGCCGCGACAGAATACTGCGGTGTTCCGGCCGTTTGTGAGCGCGGTTGTGGTGTTGCTCGGGGAAGAGGCGGTCAGAGAGGCTGCGGTGCGGGTTTTGGCGAGCTATGTGAAATATGGACGGGATAAGTTGGCAAAATTAGAGTTGCAGCGAGAAATGCAGAGGCTGGGGGTTGAGAGGGGGGTTGTGGCAAGGATTATGGGTCCAGGTGCCAGTCATCACTCGGACACCGGTCTGCATGCCAATCCTATTACCATAAACACTGGAAATGCTATGGCCCACACCCTAGGATCGGGAAATGCCATAGGACATACTCCAGGGCATGGCAGTTTCGCCCCCAAGGATACTCGAGTGGATACCAAAACTGACCCCAAATTGGAGATAGACCCGCCTTCCCGTGCTTCGCACCGTCTCCGATCTGCGTCTCCCGCGCATGACGCGAGGCTCATGATTCCCAAGCGGACATCCCATCCGGACCTCAGAGCCAGAAATGAAAGAGATGATAGAAGGGTCTCCCAGAGCTCTAAACATGAAGGTTCAAAGAGGGAGTCATCTTTAGACATTCCCTCAGCTTCGCCTTCGGTCCCGCTTTCGATTACCGCTTCACCTACCGCTTCGGTAGCTTCAATATTGGCAAAACTCCCCGGCTACCCTCTCGACACGGTCACTCCAATTTTCATCCTGGAGAGCCACCTCCATCAAGAGCTTGAAGCCATGACATGCTTCCAAGACAAAGAAACAGAGTTCAACTGGAGCAGCAGAGAAAAAGCTGTCCTCAGACTCCGTGGGATGCTCCGCGGAAACATCGCCGACCACAGCGAAACCTTCATCCTCCTCCTCAAGTCCCACCTCGTGGAGGGCATTGGTAAGGCGGTGATGTCGCTCCGCACAACGCTCTCTACCAACGGGTGCCAGCTCGTAAAGGAGCTCGGCCACTTCTGCGGTGCTGAGCTCGACTCCTCACTCGTGGAACACCTCATGCTGCCGTTATTCCGGCTTTCCTCCGCTACAAAAAAGATCGCCTCCATGAACGCCCATCTCGCGATGTGCGGACTCTTGGCCAACTGCGCATTCCACTCGCGCGTACTCGCAATGATGAGCAACGTGGCGGCGGAGAAGAACACCCAGCCACGCTTGTTCCTTGCCACATGGTTGCAAATTTTGCTTGTGCGGTTTGGCGCCACGGCGGTTTTTGATCACAACGCTGGCTGGGAGGCCATCGAGGGGTGCATGGTGAAGTGTCTCTCCGACCCGAACCCGGCCGTGCGCGAGCAGATGCGTACTACCTTCTGGGTGTTCTACCAGAAGGCACCCGTGCGGGGGGAGGCATTGCTCGCGTCGCTGCGTATCGATGTCAATGTGAAGAAAGCGCTTGACAGATCAAAACCAAAGAGCTTGGGCGAGCCTCTGGCGCCAAAGGCTCGTCCATCGGTGAAAGAGTTTGTCGCCAGAAACAAGGAGGAGTTGGGGCGGAAATCCATGGGGTCGCTTCGCCAGCTGCCGTTTCCAGCTGCGAGGCTCGAGCATAAAAATGTCCGGTCAGTTTCACAAAACTCTCAGAGAGAGGCCCCCCAAAGACTCAGAAAGGCCTCCATTGGCGACTTCAGACGCGAACGGCCTGAGAAGGAGAGGGCTAAGGATGAGAAAGAGAGGACTAAGGATGAAAAAGAGAGGGTTAAGGACGAAAAGGAGAGGGCTAAGGATGAAGCGGAAAGAACCAGGAATGAAAGTCCAGTGGGAAGGATCAGGAAGATGGAAGAGAAAGAAAAATCCGCTGGGAGCTCTGAATATGACCCTCACAACGACCCTATCGTACAGTTCCTCTCATCCAGCAGCCAGGAGCTCAAGGCCGAAGGGGTCAATCTCTTGAAGTATGCGGTCATGGGGGATGAAGTTCTCTCGGCAAAAGTCAATCAGTTGCTTATGGAAATCTCGCTCTTGGACCCGTTTCTTCTCCAGCCGTTGTTCGGTCTGCGCGACCTCTTACCCCGGGTGTTTCCCTTCTTCACCATTGACAACTTTATGCGGGTGTTGGCCTTGAACTACACCCCTGAGATGGTCAACGTCCAGTTTATCGCCACGCTTGCACAACTCATGTCCATTGATGATTTCTACCTCTCCATCTACAACCTCATGTCGTACACGATTGACATTAAGGCTATCTCCAACAAGCGGATCACGATGCAGGTAATAAAGTACAAGCTGAAGTTTGTGCGGTTCTACTTGTTTGTGTTGACCCAGAGTATGGCCCAGCTCCCGCTCAACGACGAATTCTACCTCTCCATAGTCGAGGTGTTGTTTCGGTCGTTAAGCTTGCTCAAGTCGCTCTCAGACCTCTATGAGCCCTACACCCACTTGCTTCGGCTCTGCTTCTCCATGAACCCACAGTTGTTTCAGATGAAGTTGCTGCAGATGGTGCAGTACATCCGCGAGGAGATCCACGCAATGGTGAGCGAGGAAAGGGACGAGGGGGGTGTTCCACGCGTGTCGTCAGAGAACGAAGATGAGATGATTGACGGGGTGATGGCGTCTTCGTTGTACGAGATGACGATGGTGAACCCGCGCCAGAAGATGGAGGGTGTTCCTGGGTTTCAGAGTGACATGACGATGATTGTACCGAAGTTCCATAAGTCACTGGACAAGCCTCCGGAGGTAATTCTGAGCGCTTCTGCTGGACATCTGGCGGGGCCAAGGTCTCAAGCAGCCCCTGCTTCCATTCATGCCTTGACGGACACCTCGCACAACCAGGTTCCACAGTCGATCAGAGAGGAGCTTACGGGGCTCGTCGACGTAGCAATGAGTAAACGGGCCGAAACCGATGTGGCGACGAAGAACGATGCTAAACTTTCGGAAAGAGGTCTCGTCAAAGAATCAACTCTCGACATTGTGGAACAAATGAACCGAAAGTTGGTTGGCCCGGAGTCCGACGTCGAGATGAACGAAACGCTTGAAGCTTCAGATATCGAAATGGACTGCGAAGCGAGTGCTGGACCCGTTACAACGGACCAGCCAAGTGCCATCCCTCAACTCAACGACGACCCCTTGTCACAGGTTCAAACCGACAACGAGATGGACGATGACCTGAACCATTCTGAACATGAAGATGCTCCAGATGATTCACACTCGAATATTGAATTAATCCCTCTTATCGCTCCCTCCGGCTCCGATGCGATTCCTATCGTCACTCTCCCCAACCTGAATGTCGTCGCCGTCCCTCCAGAGCTATCCTCGCACGATCCTGCCAGTCCTTCGCATAAGATTCGATACAGTGACGCCAGTAGGCTTTCCAGCACGCTTTCGCAGGTCCAGATCAGCTGCTCACCGCCAAACACCGCCAAGATCCAGCGGATGATTGAGATGTCGGACCCGTTCGTCATTGCCACCAGGAAAAAGCCCGTAGAGATCTACCACGATAGGAAGTCTCTTTCTGCCCTGCCAGATCCTGTCAGTGCTCTTGCTGACTCGTGGTTTGATTTTGGGGTGGAAAAGTTGGCGGTTCACCGGAGCATTCGCAGCAGTGAGTACGCAGCGATTGGCGGCTTTGAGCGGATCTGTCGCCACTTGGGCCGCGGTGCCTTGACAGATGGCGAATTAGTCCAGTTGTTGACGTACATGCAAGCAGCTAACCCCAAGAACCCTGGTGAGGGGTTTCATGCGTACTACGCCTCCAAGGGTGTTGCCATGGTGAGATCTTCGGTACAGGGGTACTTCCGAGAGATTCAGGCGATTTCTGAAGCGGATAACCAGAAATTGAACGCCCAGCTCCGGGGGTTGATCTTGCTCAAACAGTTGCTCTTGAACCGGGATGTGACTGATATCTCCAATTTCTGGGATATTCTTGTCGCATTGACCCAGATTATCGATGCGGACGAAGTCGATATGACGTTTGCCATTGAGGAAACGCGAGATGAGATGATCAACTTGAGCTTCCTCAAGTGTTTTGAGCTTTCGATACGGCAGGTTAAGCTCCAGATGATGGTGCCTCTGCACGTGTATCCGCTTGTATTCCTGCTCGCCACGATGGGCAAATGTGCGGCGCATTTCGAAACCCTTTCGGACGACTTGATTGTGAGCATCGACGAGATGATCGAGCCGCTTTTGTCGCATCACGAGGCAGACGTCAGACGCTTCGCAATCATGGTCTACGCCCAGTTTCATCGGTTGGCGAAGGAGGAAAAGGGTGGAAGCGTGACGGCGATTATGAGCCGGATGAGCAGTGCCCAGAGGAAGTTGGTTAAGTATTACAGTGAACGGTAAGGCTAGGCGTGCACTGCAAGCTCTGTCGGCCTCTACACTCGCTATGCTCGCTTAAGCTGTGTATAAGTTATAATAATATGGATTCCGGTACATTGAAATATCTAGTTTGTGGTGACGCTGGATGAAACTGCTGGGAGTTTTCATCTCCGACTTTGTGCTTCCAACTCTGGTCCATACGCTTGTCTACGCTCCCCGTTCTATGCAAAGCTCTCAATACCCGTAAACTTTTGCGCTGTTCAACTTGTGCATCAAGCGGTCAATCTCGCCGAAGTTGGTGTCGTTCACGGCGAACGTACGGTGCTTGCTGGACTCTATATGGTCGTCGAAGTGGTCGTACTTCACGCGGCAGTTTTCGCAGTAGCCAGGCCGTTCAACCCGCTCCTCCATAGGCACCACCTTTGCTGGCACGTTGGGGATGTTGGCATTTTCGCGTAACGGCACGGGTTTTGCGGAAAACGCAATGGATTTTTTCAAGTTGGTGATGGTTTTGGAGCGCACCTCCGCTACCGTCGGTGCCAACCCGTTTCCGAAGCCTTCCTTGCCCGACTGCAACGTGTTGTTGGTGGAAAACGTGTTGACCCCGCTGGCTGCTATCTCGTAGAAGCTCCGCTTGGGCACTGCCATGACGGACGAGTTCCGTGCAAGCGTTGGAGAAACGAATGGATTTTCTCCAAGGGTCCGGACGGGGGTTCGTTGTGTGGCCTGCTCTTGTGTTTGCTCCTGGGTTCGGTAAAGTCCCAAAGATTGTCTGCTTTGATCTCTGGGAGGCAGAGCTTCCGATCTATCAGTCGAGAGGATATCATCAAGCCTTCTCACGACATGAATCATCGGCAACGGCGAATGCGACGGTTTCATCCGCGAATAATGAGCGATCTTCTGGCGGTAGCGGCGCGACTCGCGGAACTTGCGCAAACGGCGCTCACGGCGGCGCTGCGGGTCCGTACACGCGCTGTCAGGCACAAACGGACAGCGGCCTTCGCTGGATGCATACAACTTCGGAATCGTGTCCTTAGTGTCCGTGCGCCACTCGCGTGTCGCGATGGGCCGGTAGCGCTGCTTCAAGTCGTAGATGAAGAAGTATGTGCTCTTGAAGTAGTGGAAGTCGTCACGCTTTGCGGCCATGTCGCGATCACTCGGGCCTTGAATCTTTTCCTTGTATAACAACGACGAAAGGCCCTCGTGCGATGGCGCGGCCGCGGGCGACTCAGCAAGGTTGTTGAGGAACCGGAAGAGCTTGTCATACGTCCAGACCTTCATTTTTTCCTTGATCGCGATTTGGAACACGTCGCCCGGCGCGTAGGCGCGACGGATATCGAACTCACGCGTTGTCACGATGATGCTCACGTCCTTGTGGAAGAACGGTGATGTACTCGCGCCCAATCCCGTGAGCGCCCGCACGGCCCGGTCGCGGCGCCCCGCATCAGTCGCAGCGTCAAAGTAGACCGTCGACGTTCGCATGATGGCCCGCCACTGCTTCTGCCAGCTGCGAAACTCGTCGCCCACCATGCGCGGGTTCTTGGCCGCCGGCTTCGGCTTGCCCCTAGGCTTTTTCACGTTGATGTCGGTTTCCCGAAGGGCGACTCTTTCTATCATCGAGTGCTGTTGATTGGTGTAGGTAGATCTGTGAAGGTTGGGTTTTAAGTTGAGTGTGGTATGATGGTGATTCTTGTAGCTGTTTTATTTTGCTGGTTTTGTTAGCCGCCCAGAAGCGCGAAAATTGATGCGAGCGTCAACAAACAAAAAAGAAACGCCCGACGCGATATGGGGTTGGGTTGTATCGGGAAGTGGGTGAGAGTTTGGTGGCCGGAGTTGGTTGATAAGCTGAGTGGTGGAGTTCTAACTGTGTATTTGGTAAATTTGTAATTATTTACCGTGGATAGGGTTTATTAAAGGTGGATTAGTGCTGGGTAGTCGGGTTAGATGTAGGCGCGTTGCCAGAGAAGCGCGTACGCGTGAGAAATGGCCAACGGGTGATAATGGGTAAATATTAGATTTTTAGTGGTTCTGTAAGTGGATTATTACTGTCTTAGTCTATCAGGATTTTACTGGTATATAAGAGTCCATTCTTCAGCATGTAATTGACTTTTAGACCGGTATGAGCGCGTTTCGCTAGGATGTCACAGCGCGGTTATTGCATAACATTGGAGTTGAGCCTTCAGAGCTGTAAGCACTAATCGGTGCAAAATCCAAGTTAATACTAGAATTCTTAGCCGAGCTATGGGAGTATTTAATTCACCTTATTTTATTGATATTATATCCACACCTCTAGCTGTGAGTAATGTTTATATACAGATGAACATTTCACCCTAAAAAAAAAGCTTCCCCACCAGGAGTCGAACCTGGAATCTTCTGGTTCCAGAAGTGGTTACAAATCGTAGCCAGACGCCGTGACCATTGGGCCATGAGGAACGAAGCTTAGATCTTACGGGGTTCTAATTGGTATATAGCTGGATCATATATTGATCAACCCAAAACTGCTCACGAAACTTGCTTTTCTATCTAAGGGTGTATAGGACATAGAGTTTGACCGCTCTTATATATTCCGTGTCAAATTAACAGCACGCCTCTTTGAAGCAGTATCTGGATAAACTATTTCGACATGGCAGATCCAATAGGGCTACCTAATGCAACAGTTTGGGCTTTTTTTAGTGATCCATTATCATAATACCGTTTACGTTAGTTGGTAAATCGAATACATATGCGAAACGGATAGTATACGTGCTTTCTCGACGACCACCCGCTCTTGTGGATATTTCCCGAAGCGGGATGATCACCCAATGAGGTAAAGGGTTCGTCTCTTCCCCGCTTGTTCACGTCTTGAGTAGTCGTATGCTCCGAGGTCGTATGAGAGCTTACAGATAAATTTGATTCCGGAGAAAAAATAGCAATTCTGAGGGAAAATAACCATTTGGAAAACATTTGAAAAATATTTGAAAACCATTTAGCCCTCTAGAACCGGTTGTTAGCAACAAACAAACCACAGTATCCCTGTATTCCGTGCTCGGTAAACTGCCGCATGACGTGCATATCTGTTATATGTCCCCTCAAAAGAACAGGGTATAAAAAAATTCAATAGCCACCCCTCGTCCCTGGGATCAAGACTGTTGGTATTAACCTTGCCTTAAGATTCAAATAATTAAACCTCCGATATAAAAAAAAAAAAGTTACTGCCCCTCGGGACTGTTATATCCCCCGTGTGTTTCTACGCCATGGCCGAAACTGTGTAAATGTTCCAAATACTAGCCTCTCACTTTATAACCCGTATCTCCAGTGTGGCAATGCCACATTGATCTACTGCTTTTTTTCCGTGGACAGTAAGTTCGGACAAACCATGACACCTATGTTTATCCCACACCAGCCATCGTACAATCCACAGTTCCAAGTGCTACATTATCACGTAAGCACAATTTCGTGACAGGAGGTCCCAATTTATCCCGATGGTTTCTTTTTCGGCTATGCCACCGTGGCTGGTCTCCTTCAGGCATGGCCCCACGTGCGTCCATGTGGCCCTGGAACCCCAATCCCTCTGGTTTTCACACTACAACCCCTACCGCGCGTCTCTCTTCTGTGCATGCTAAGGTGCGTCCCCGAAATTTTGTGCCCGCTTAGAAATCAGACATTAAGGCCAAAGCACATAAGCACGCCGGCTTTTTTGCCACGACTCATTTCCGCCTCAACCGTCGCAGCATCCCTATACTTCAGTATAACCCACGTCGACCATCTCCAGAGTCTTCCTCATTCCTCTCAACCGCGCAAATGGGTCAGTCACTGTCGAAAACTGAGCCTCCCATACCCGAATCCTCTCCTTCCTCTTCCGCCAATGAGCCAGAGCCCGATCCCCGTCGGGTAACTAATAACAATAAACCATCCAGAAGAAATTCTGTGAAAATTCCATCCAACGATGCCAGAAAAAAGGCTTCAGACCCCAGGAAGGGTCCAGAGTACGATGCCAGGAAAGACCCGGAGCCGTATGACTACGAGCTAGAAATCAGCGCTTCCATGGCCAAGATTCTTGCAAAACCAAAGTCACCCAAGAAGCTCAAGCTAGACGATGTGAGCTCCTCCGTTGAAAGCGACATTTCCATCCTCACGGGCGTTTCGTCCAATTCCAGTGGCAACTCCACGCCCCCGCCTGCCACACCGACGTTCTTCAAGAACGGCGTGGATTTGGATCCGATTGCTGAGCTTTCCGTGGAGTCCACGCCCGAGCCTCTCTCGAACAGTGGCAGCAGCACGCTCAAGTTCCCCCGGGAAGTCATCACCCCGCCGGGCCTTGTGTCTACCCCGGCCCATGCCTCTGTTCCCACCCCCGCCTCCACGTCGCTCATCTCCGTGACGCTTAAGAAGCCCCGAAGCCGGAAAGGCGGCTCTTCGTCCTCCTCCACTTCCTCCAGACTGTCGAACCCCGATAAGGTCGACCTCGACTCGGTGATTAGCCGGCTCGTGGAAACAGGCCTCTCCCGCCTGTACTCCCACCAGTTGTGTGTGCTGACGACAGAAATCCAGTACATTGTGAACAAGGCGCGCCAGGTTTTCCACTCCCAGCCGACGTTGCTCGAGCTCGCTGCGCCGGTGAAGGTCGTGGGTGATATCCACGGCCAGTTCCAGGATCTCCTCCGCATCTTCAAGCTCTGTGGGTTTCCACCAGACACGAATTACTTGTTCCTCGGTGACTACGTTGACCGAGGGAAGCAATCTCTTGAAACGATCTTGTTGATGCTTGCTTTCAAGATTAAGTATCCCGAAAACTTCTTTATGCTTCGCGGGAACCACGAGTGTGCGAATATTACCAAGATCTATGGCTTCTACGACGAGTGCAAGCGCCGAGCGTCCAGCAAGGTGTGGAAGATGTTCGTGGACTGTTTCAACACGTTGCCCATCGCTGCTACCATTGGGAACAAGATCTTCTGTGTCCATGGTGGGCTTTCGCCTAACTTGACCAGTCTCAAACAGATCCGGAATATTCAGCGTCCGTCGGACGTTCCAGAGACCGGTTTGCTTGCAGATCTTCTTTGGTCGGACCCCGATGCTACCGTCGATGACTGGTCGTCGAACGATCGCGGGGTGTCGTACTGCTTTTCAAAGAGGAATGTGGAGCAGTTTTGTCGTAAATTCAAGATAGACCTCGTGGTGAGGGGCCATATGGTGGTGGAGGACGGGTACGAATTCTTTGCCAAGCGGAAATTGGTGACGGTATTCTCCGCGCCGAACTACTGTGGGGAGTTTAACAATTGGGGCGCCGTCATGAATGTGGATAAGGGGTTGTTGTGTTCGTTTGAGTTGCTCAAACCGACGGAGAGAAAGAGATAGGGAGGACAGTGGTGATGCCAAAGTTATTATTATATCTACTATCACTGTACCTATGTTTTTTTGCCATTTGTTCTTCTCTTTCCTAATACCTTGTTCCTTCACATCTTGTCTTAAATAGTCTTGCCTTTTGTCCCCTTACATGTAACACGTGCCGTAACGAACCTACATAACGATAGTACGATTTTTACTTTTTTTCATGTATTTCTTTCATGTTTTTTTTTTCTCATCCTTTTCTCTATTTCTCATCCTTTTCTATTTTTCTTAAAGATATTGACGTTTCACTTGACTAATGATACTGTTGTACCGGGCGGGCTAACTAAAGCTTGTGTGAATAGGCAAAGGCGCTTACGGTGAAAGTATTGTAGTTCAATGATTATATTATTGGTAACTCTTGGTGTTTTGGTTCAAATCCAGTGCAGCATTCAAGCGCTTTGAGAGCTGTAAATTCTTTTCGGTTTTTATACCAATGGCGTTTTGGGACGTTTAGCAATGAGCGCTTCTCCGCTTCCAATATCTCGGGGATATATCTGTAAACTACTCTCCGTCCCTATTTATTTTTCTGGAAGGCTCTCCAGTATTTATTTTTTGGACTGGTAAATACACCTTTCATACGAAATAAGCGGCTTGTAAAGCAGTACGCATCCAATTTAAAGTAATCGGAGATGTCGGGATTTCAGCTTTAGGAGGATCCGGGGTCGCACAAGCCATGTTTTCACTACATGTACACGCCACGAAGAAAAATGTGATATGCATCTAGACTTAATCTACTTGTGATAACGGCTATGTCTTGGAATACACGATTATAATTAGAGGTATATAGCGCATCCTTCGAATTATGGGCACCACCCCGGTGCGTTGATATAGCTTCTCTCTGTCAGTGTAACCATTTATCCATAACTACCGCTTTCCCGTACCTTTATGTACACCGAGCTCTGCATGTACGGTTAGAACAGTTAGTTCATCCGAGTCTCTAAGCCAATGATAAATATCCGATTTAATAAAAACACTAACAAATGGAGATTACCTCGATCTTCTCGATCAAGTCTAACCCTGCACATCTCATTTTAAACGTATCCATGATCAATCCTTGGGTAACATCCATTGGCCCATCGCGTCGTATAACCTTCGCAGTGCTATCCACCGTGACCTGTGGAAGATTCCCTGCCCTCACGTCGATAGCGATAGACACGACCGCCTTGTAGCCCATTTTCGGCGAAAACTGTCTGACCTGTGCGACCAAGCTGCTGCCATTCGTCACATACTTGATTGGAAAAAACAACCCCAATTTGGTCAAGTCTGTATCCATCTTCTTCAACTGGTACCACGTGTTAGCAAACCCATGGAACGTGTCAATCACCGACGAGCGAGCATGCAACGAAAGAAGTCTCTGGCCGAAGTGGGACATTATCGGAGAAAGGTTTTCCGCGAACCCCACCCGCAAATTCTCCGCCTTTTGCAAGTCACTGAAGTCGATCTGGACATTCACCGCCCTGTCAAACTGGAAATGGACGATAGGACGGTGCTTGTCGAGGGCGACGAAGCGGAAGCTGGTAATAGACTGGAGGAGGCTGAACCTTGACGGCAAGGAGAGCAACTCCTGGGCGTCAAACTTTTTAGTGGAGTTGACAATACGCTGGTTTTCCGCAATAGAGCGATTGGCGCTTTCGATCTGTGCCAGAACCTGCCTCATAGAACCATTCGTCTCCTCCAATCTGCATTGGAGCGCCATCAAGTTGTCGCGTTTCTCGGCATACTCCCGGTTTATTCCCACCAATTCTTGCTTGAAAGAACGCAAATTTTCCGTGTGCAACGTCTCGTAGTGCTGTTTTGCAGACTTTAACGCCTGTAACTGCGCCGTGAGCCCCACCATCTTCTCTCTGACAGCGGCCAAGAGTGTTTGGGCTTCGACGTTTTGCTGCTGGAGCACCTTCTTATCCTCGCTGAGCTGCTCAAAGTTTTCGTTCAAGGCGATTAACACGCCCTCCACCAACTGCGACCGCCAGCCATACCATACAGACTTCGCCTGGTACCTCGCGTAGTCCTTGATCAACTGAAACTGGAGGTTCATGTTGGACCTGACCAGCTGGGTGGATTGGAAGTACTCCTTAATGAGCGGTGGGTTCTCCTCTACGGTTTCCGTCTCCAACTGCAGAAACAAGTGCTGGCCCTCGGTGATGTTTTTGCGCAACTCGCGGCTGCTAAAATCATACAACTCGAGGCGAGGAAGCTTCTGCTTGGCATGCAAGTAGTCGCCCAATACCACGTTGGAATCCTGGGGCTTTTGCACAAACGAGCGGCGTTTGGATTTGTCACTGATGAGCAAGTCGTCGTAGAACTTGATCTCGATCGCATCCATGAACTGGCTGAGAGATACTGGCTGGTAGCTATCGATAGACTCGATCGACGTATTGGCATCCAACAGAACCTCCTTGACAGGTTCCACAACTGGGGGGTAGTTCTTTTCCTTGATGACTCTGAGAGGCGTGAACCCGCTCAAAAGAAAGTCGGCATCATCGATTTTCAGAGGCAGTGACAAAGTATTGCACGAGAGATGGGGCGCTGGAAGAGCCCTCAACGGAGACCTCTGAGGCAGGGATCTCCGAGACAGGGCCTTCTTCTGAGGGGATAACGAGATGATTCTGGTCAACAAGTTAGCCCTCGCCTCAGTGCTGGTACTTTTCTCGGAAGGTTCAGTTACATTAGTCTGGTTTGGTTTCCGGCTTGGCGAGCGTTCCGGTTCGCCTGGTACCGAGAGGCGTCTTCTCTTGCGGGCAGAGTGAGGCGAACCAGTATCGGATGTGACCGTGTCCGTCTTGTTCGGGGTTTGGGATTTATCAGGCGTCAACGACCGTCTTCTCTTTAAACTGCCACTCTCATGGCTGATAATCCGGCCCGTGAGCATGGAAACGTCCATCAGGACCTCGGTGTTGAAGTCAGCACTGATAGTTGTGCTGGTCAACCCGTCGGACTCCTCAGCAATCGTGCTCAATCTGTCGGCGAGCTCTGGATCCTGTGTACTGGTTACGAGCAGCTGTGACAACTCGGGAGTCCTGATAGGCTGAGATGAAACCTGGGAAGACTGGACAGACTCCGAAGACTGAGATAAAACGTTGGAGCTCAACTCTTCCCTGCCGTTGATTTGTATAGACCCGGTCCTATCCACCACTGAGGTCATATCCATGTCAACTTCCAGGTCCTCATCGCTGCTAGTCGCTTCTATTTCATCATTGTCTCTACCCGTAACCTCACGAGAGAACTGGAAAATCGACATCGGAGCGTGCTGGGTGATCTCCATCGCCTCCTCGTCAACGCTTGCCTGGCTGGATAAAATCTCCGGGACACCAGACGGTGTGCCTCCCAAGTTTTGTGTCAACTCCATATCGTCTTCCGCATCCGAGGAACTGTACTGAGCAGTGTTGGCTGGCCCGTTGTGTAAATCCAAGCTGCTTTCCAAGCTATTCATTCTGACAGAGCCTCCGCTCAAGTTATTGACAACGATCTGGTTCATTCTGAGGGTAGTGGTAATTTCCATTGAAGCATCGCTTTCGTCCAAGTCGGGAGAGTCCTGGAAGATCGCAAAGTTTGGACTACGGACCCGCACGGCTTGCTGGTCTTCTTCGTCAGAACTATCGTCCAACACCTCTTGGCCAGCCTCGTCCGCTTTGTCGCTCACTGGCTGGTTACTGGGCATGTAGGCAATCGTTTCACGTCTTCTTCTGGGCTCACGCGCCCTCGCTTCCTCCTCCTGCGGAATGAGGTCGATCTTGTGTAACGTCACCTCCGGTGCAAACGAAACCCGTCTTCTGGAAACCTTCTCCTTCGGCGCCAGACTCATCACAGCGATAGTATGGTTGTCGGTTTTGCGAAGCCCGAAGGCCTTGGGAAGCAGTGTGAGCGTGTTTCCGCTAAACGCTTTCAAAATCCCTCTCACGTTTGTGGCGGGCGCAAGCGAGTGTCTTCTAGAGGGGATTTTGGCGGAGGGCCCAGCATTCTCTTTGTTAAGGTCGTTGAAAGCCTTTCTTGGCGAGTTTGGGGCCGAAACCATGGTAATTGAAGGTGGAGGCGTGGTGTTAAGCGAAAGAGCTGCTTTTGTTTGTTTTGTTTTGTTTCACTGCAGCGTAAACAAACAAATTTAGGTGCAGGCTGTTGGGGCTCACAACCACAGACCATCCATACAAGGTTGATTGAGTACATTTGGTCACTTTATCTCTAGTAGGATCAAACATTAAATATGTTGCAATGGGTGTCTTAGGCTTGTAATCTAACTCGGATTAATTCTTAAAAACGTAATCTTTGTTGGTAGCTCTCTGGGATGGAGTACGTGCACTAATTAGGGCTTAATATGTACGCGTAAATGCGTGTCAGTATGCGGCTGGTACACCTCCTATCGTGATATCCTGGCGATATAAATATTTGTAGACAATTGGACCCTCCCAAGTCGGTAAGGGAATTGTGCCTTCTGGGACCTGCATTTTACTCAAAATGGCTTAATTTGAAAGGAGATTTGCAAAGATATGAGAGAAAAATGAAGGTTTTTATGTTGTGTGCAGATGTTATTTTCGGTGCTTTGATCGTGACTGAGGTCATTTCAATCTCCAAGCGGGAGTGATTCCCAAGTTGGTGAACCAGTGAGGTCTGGCTACTGGAAAGGGGTTTAGGGTAATGCTTGTATTATTGGGATGGGAAATGATGGGTCCTGGTTCCTTACGATCGGCATGATTAGCAAGATTAGCCCTGTGCTCTATGTAAGCAGACCCCGCATATGCTAAAAGTATAATGCGTCTAAAGGTAGATCCGAAAAAATATCGCCGATTGATGGGTGAATCTAGGCGCGAGAGAGCTAGTATAATTTGCACCAGTTCAAAAGTAGCTACATATACCTGAGAGCTGCTGTGACTCCTAAAGTTTCGTTTTGAAAATGGACTGCCTCATGAACTATACTGCCCAGAATTGATTGACATAGTATATGATGACAAAAGACACCTGGCATCCCTTGTTTGACTCAGCCTTGAATAGGCGCCCTGGGCAAGCATGTCACAGAACATCCTTTGAGGTTCCAGCTTCGCGTTTCTGGTCCGTAGACATTTAATTTCTTGGTCCCGGTTATAAAGTAGTTCCCAGGGTAACATTTCTGTGCCATTACATTAGTACTTTTGTCGGGAATTAGCACCCATGAGGTGTAAAAAGACTGAGTTAGAGACAAGAGAAAGCATTCCAATGGTGTATTGTAATTCTATATCCAACCGTGTAACCAGAAATACTCTCAGGGACTGGCGGCCTCCATTTACGACTTGCGCCAATAACCTGTGCTGGCTGCGTATTATAAGCCAATCTCGAATTTGAAAATTGCCGCATCGGTTCTCCTACATGAAGCTAAAGATAGTAGCCAAGCAAGTTTACGTTAGTGAAAGTCTAATTCCATAGTGTGCATGCTCTAAACCTTCTGTGTGCCATCGATCTCGCATGATGCAAGATTAAAATGCGGCTGGTTAGGGATCGCCGGGGGACGGGGTTGCATAGCCACTGGATATTCCTATGAACCTCCGTAGCTTAATATTCACTATTCCCGCTAAAAGTCGACGAAGATCACCGCTTGGTCTCATGGTGCTTGCATGAATACCCTTTCAGCCTTGATGTGATCCTTATATTGGCCAGAGTAGCCGTTCGGTTCAGCTTTCTTAAATAAACAGGAATGAGATAAGTTATGAGACTCACATTTTGTCGATCGCCTCATTTTAGCGCATTTAAGCCTAGGACAAATCGTCATAGCTAAGATTTTCTCAGAGCAGTACTCTACACCGCCCCGTTCAACGCTATAGTTGCTCTCCACGGATGTGAGTGCAAAATCCAATTTAGATATCGATCGATATATCTATGCCGGTCCTAATGGCTATTGATCGAATAGGTCTCCACTCGATAATACCCTTGGTATTTTCCTTTACTGTAATGGTAGCACTTGTTTTTCAGGGTTCTCTTATCAGCTCCCCTGCTGCATGGTGTGTCTGACATACACTGGTGCCCTTAAGTGTTTGGCGTTACGCCTTTAAATATTGAATGACTACTCGTTTCATTTCTTACTCTAGTGTGACGTCATTAAATCCTGCCGGTAGCATGCTATCACAGCACCCGACGAGCATGGTTGAAATTTCAAAATAGCGAAGCAAATCCGGTCTCTCGTACCCACAGTTATAGCCAACTTAAATTGACAACTGCAGCACGGCCTGTTTTATATCGTAATAAACACCTTGTTCCGTAATTGACGTCGGCGCTGGAACAAAGTGACAAGCCTAGGAATAAAAATAGGCCCGAAAATATAATTTTATAAGAAGCAATATTTAATGATACGATACACAGGTGTATAGAAAAATGCAGGGGAGCGTGGGGCCCAAGGAAGGCTGAAGAAAGGAGCAAGAAATTATTAAGGAGTGTAATTTGGGAGACATTTCGTAAGAGACGACTGGCGTGGGCTAAAAAAACAGCAGAATCATAAAGGGGGCATAAGTGTTGGGCCGTTTACAAAATCATCAAGGCCATAATAGCGATAAGGTTGCCAAAAACCGAGATTTGGGTGTTGGCAGCGCCTTCGAAAGCGGTGATAGCAGCTGGTGACAGGGTAAATGGAGAAGATGTGGCGAAAGTAACAGTGGTCAAATTAATACTAGTGGCCACAGCGGTAGCCTCAGTACCTTCAGTCTCGGCTGTTTCTGTCTTGGCTGGTTCTGTATTAGCTTCGGTCTTTGTCGTTTCCGTCTTGGCTGTTTCTGTCAATGGGTAATAGCTGGTCTGCTTGGTGGCAATACCAGAAACGGTGGTATCGATGACGGTGACACCAGTGGTGACGGCAGCGGCCGAACAGACACCGCCGGAACAAGAAGTAACGGTGAGCACAGCGGTGGACTGCAAGCGGATGGTGGAAGTTGTGCCAACTTCCACTTGGGTATCGTGGGTAGCAATGTCAGTTGTCAACGGGGTGTAATGGGTGACCTCAGTGACAGTGCCTTTGACGGTGGCAGTTTCCACAAGTACACCAGTGGTGACAGCGGAAGTAGCACAGACATTGTTGGAACAAGAGGTGACGGTAATCACGACAGTCTTCGGTTCGGTGGCAGTGGAAGTGGAGTCTCCGGTCAATGGAGTGTAGGTAGTGTAGATAGTCTCACTCTTACCAATAGTGGTGGTGATGACAGTGACACCAGTGGTGACGGCGGAAGTAGCACAGACGTTGTTGGAACAAGAGGTGATTGTGATGACGGTGGTGGACTGGTCGGTGACGGTGGAAGTGGAGTCTCCGGTCAATGGAGTGTAGGTAGTGTAGATAGTCTCACTCTTACCAATAGTGGTGGTGATGACAGTGACACCAGTAGTAATTGCGGTGGTGGCACAGGCATTGTCAGAACAAGAGGTGATTGTGATGACGGTGGTGGACTGGTCGGTGACGGTGGTGGTCACTGAGTCAGAAGTGGCAACTGCAGAACCAGTTGGAACAGAATCAGTCTTGGAGGCGCCCGAAGTAGCGTCATGGGTGGTGGTGATGTAGATGGTGGAGATCTGGGTCAACACACCACCCGAAACAACCTCTACAACGGTGGTTGGAACAACAATCTTGGCTCTCTTGTTGAGTTCATCAGTGTAGATGTAAACTGTGGTGTAAGAGATGTAGGTGGAGTAGTAGGAGGTGGTTGTTGTGGTTGCAACGGTGGTGTATTCGGTGGTGAGAGGTTCAGAGCCTGTAGAGGAATTTTCAACTGGAGTAGAAGCTGCAGGAGAGACATCAACTGGAGTAGAGGCAGCGGAAGAGGCTACAACTAGGGAAGAGGCCGCGGAAGAAGCAACAGCTGGAGTAGAGGCTACAGAAGAGACTTCGACTGGAGTAGAGGCCGCTGAAGAGGCTACAACTGGGGTAGAGGCTGCAGAAGAGACTTCGACTGGAGTAGAAGTAGCAGAAGAAGCCGCAGAAGATACTTCGACTGGAGTAGAAGCAGCGGAAGAGGCCACAGAAGATACTTCGACTGGAATAGAAGCAGCAGAAGAGGCCGCAGAAGAGACTTCGACAGAAGTAGATGCAGCGGAAGAGACTCCGACTGGAGTAGAGACCGCAGAAGAGACTTCGACTGGAGTAGAAGTAGCAGAAGAGGCCACAGAAGATACTTCGACTGGAGTGGACGCAGCGGAAGAGGCCGCAGAAGAGGCTACAACTGGGGTAGAAACCGCAGAAGAGACTTCGACTGGGGTAGAAGCAGTGGAAGAGGCCACAGAAGAGACTTCGACTGGAGTAGAAGCAGCAGAAGAAGCCGCAGAAGATACTTCAATTGGAGTAGAAGTAGCGGAAGAGACTCCGACTGGGGTAGAAGCAACGGAAGAGGCCGCAGAAGATACTTCGACTGGAGTAGAAGCAGCGGAAGAGACTCCGACTGGAGTAGAGACCGCAGAAGAGACTTCGACTGAAGTAGAGGCCGCGGAAGAAGCAACAGCTGGAGTAGAGGCTACAGAAGAGACTTCGACTGGAGTAGAAACCGCAGAAGAGACATCGACTGAAGTAGAGGAAGTGGAAGAGGCCGCAGAAGATACTTCGACTGGAGTAGAAGCAGCAGAAGAAGCCGCAGAAGATACTTCAACTGGAGTAGAAGCAGCGGAAGAGACTCCGACTGGAGTAGAGACCGCAGAAGAGACTTCGACTGGAGTAGAGGCCGCGGAAGAAGCAACAGCTGGAGTAGAGGCTACAGAAGAGACTTCAACTGGAGTAGAGGCCGCAGAAGAGACTCCGACTGGGGTAGAGACCGCAGAAGAGACTTCGACTGGAGTAGAAGCAGCGGAAGAGGCCGCAGAAGAGGCTACAACTGGGGTAGAAACCGCAGAAGAGACTTCAACTGGAGTAGAGGCTGCAGAAGAGGTAACAGAAGAGACTTCGATTGGGGTAGAAGCAGCAGAAGAGGCTATAACTGGAGTAGAAGCAACGGAAGAGACTCCGACTGGAGTAGAAACCACAGAAGATACTTCGACTGGAGTAGAAACCGCAGAAGAGACTCCGACTGGAGTAGAGGCAACGGAAGAGGCCACAGAAGAGGCTCCTACTGGGGTAGAAGCAGCAGAAGAGACTTCTACTGGGGTAGAAACCGCAGAAGAAGTCGCAGAAGATACTTCAATTGGGGTAGAAGTAGCGGAAGAGGCTACAACTGGAGTAGAGGCTGCAGAAGAGGTAACAGAAGAGACTTCGACTGGGATAGAAGCAGCAGAAGAGGCTACAACTGGGGTAGAGGCCGCAGAAGAGACTTCGACTGGGGTAGAAACCGCAGAAGAGACTCCGACTGGAGTAGAAACCGCAGAAGAGACTTCGATTGGGTTAGAAGCAGCGGAAGAGGCCGCAGAAGAGACTTCAACTGGAGTAGAGACCGCAGAAGAGGCTACAACCAGGGTAGAAGCAACGGAAGACACTTCGACTGGGGTAGAAACCGCAGAAGAAACTTCGACTGGAGTAGAAGCAGCAGAAGAAGTCGCAGAAGATACTTCAATTGGGGTAGAAGTAACGGAAGAGGCTACAACTGGAGTAGAAGCAGCAGAAGAGACTTCAACTGGAGTAGAGGCTGCAGAAGAGACCCCGACTGGAGTAGAAACCGCAGAAGAGGCTCCAACTGGGGTAGAAACCACAGAAGAAGCAACAACTGACACGGCTTCAGAAGAAGCAGGTCCAACTGGTGCAGAAGTAGACACAGAAGCACCAGACGTAGGGTCATGGGTGGTGGTGATGTAGACAGTGGAGATCTGGGTCAACACACCACCCGATACAACATCCACAGCTGTAGTTGGAACAACAGTCTCTGCTCTCTTGTTGAGTTCGTCGGTATAGATGTATATTGTGAAGAAAGAGATATAAGTGGAGTAGTAGGAGGTGGAGGTGGAGGTGGCCACGGTGGTATACTTGGTTGTGACAACTTCAGAAACAGCAGAAGTTTCAACTGGCACGGCAGAACTAGAGCTTGGAAGTACGAAGGTGGAGGTGGAGGTAGAGGAAGAAATAGTAGTAGTCACGGTAGAGATGACAACCGGAGAAGCAGTAGACTGGACGGAGGTGGTTGGGATCGTGCTAGAAAGCTTGGCTGAATTAGAGCTAGAAGCATTCAGAGATGCTTGCGCAGTCGAACTCGAGCTTGGGGTCGTAGGACCTCTTGTGGTGGTGGAAGTACTCTTGACAGTAACGGTGACAATCAGCCCTGGCACAGTCAGCGTCACGATGATGGTTGAAACGTGGGTGGTTTGCGATATGGAGGAGTAGGATTGCATGATGGAACTATAGTTCGGGTCAGTGAGAAGCGGGAACACGTTCTGAGGGAACCAGCCAATGACGTTACCGTGGGGGTTGTACTCACAGATGATATATTGACCCCAGGCTCCGGTACAATTGATATAAGCACACCCCAACTGAGCCGAGCTCTTCCAGATCAACTGGGTGAAGTGACCCGTGTTAGAGCTGTAGCCCGGGTTGGAAAAGTTGTAATATTGAATCTCATCGTACCAGGCTTCCACGGCACCAACAGTGCTGTAGCCCGCGGCAAGGTTCTCACCGTACTGACCACCACTGTGCTTCAAGATCCCGTTGCACTGGTAAGTAGAGGTGGCGTAATTGTTAGCGTAAACGGCCAAAGTATCGTTCCACACAAGCGGATCCACCCCGTGCAAGACTCTCTTAGCGTTGGTAGCGGCTAAAATAGTGTCAGCAAAATAACTGTCCATCGTAGCAACCGTGGTTGTGATGGCAAGTGCCGCTAATGCAATAGCGGAAAACTTCATTTGATCGGAGGGTATTATTTATTTTTTCAAAGGTAATTTTATAGAGACTAGCCACCAAGTAGAAACCGGGAATCTGGGTCCCTTATATACCCAAATATTCCACCAGCATGAAGATAAGAGGGTTGGTGATGAAGATCGTTGATGAAACGCTTAACAGTAACTCTCATGGCTGGCCTGTTGGTGGTCTGTGCATCACATACTGCATGGCCGGTGAAACGTTGTGCATGAAGTTAGCGCTCAGATAGACTGCATACTAATGCATGCAGTTGCATTAGTGATTTGCACATAAGAACAATGGCCGGATAGATCCCCGACACGGGTCCCGGCCTGTATATGATGCGCGAACAATGGTTTACGAAAAACTTAATGTCTACTCCGTGGTTCATAGAAACCGAGGTCGCTCGATTCCCTGTTTTAGGAACAGGGATTGCAAGCTGGAGCGCATCGTTGCCGGGTTATTCAGGCGGGCTCATATATTTGGTGTCAGGAGGCCGTAATTGGCTCGAACCTAAAGTCTGGGGAAGATGGTGAGCGCTGTAAATTTGCGGTTGGGAACACGTATCTCTTGGCATGTTGCCAATAATTGCCACATCTTGCATCGAGGTTATAGACCGTATCGTGACCGTATTGCCGGCCGAAATTGTGAACTGTATTGTGGTTGTATTACTAGTCGAGGCTACGAACTGTATCGTGGCCGTATTGCCATTCTAGCTGATGACTAAACTGGTCACGCTGGTACATGAACGGGATATCGTAGGCCTAATAGTTTGCATGCATAGTAACCTCTATCTGATTTACAACGTATATCGATGTTACCATAGCACACATGCAATTTAGAAGGGTCTGGCAACTAAGCATGACGTATCAGATGCATGCTACTGCTAACCAATAAGCGCTAGGAGCCAAAGACAATGCTATTTTTCAACCTCGATAGTGAGTGACTTCGGGTCCATCGTGCGTTACTTATATAGTCTCCATTCAGTGGTTTGGATGGCGTGCCCATAGATATCTCGTTTAGAAAATTTCAAATCTCGACACTAAGATGTGCGCCGTCTGTGTGACAACGCGCTATGCATTGTCTGATGTAACAATACCTTCCTTGCCTGCATGACAGGGCCGAGTCTGAACCCAATCTTAGTTTTGGTGACTCAAGCTTATGCATGGTCTACCTCAGTTTCCATGCCAGAGAAATGAAAAATGAAAGCAATATTAAACCCAGAGATGAAACTTATTAGAGCAGCTCCCCATGACATCAGCTCGTCTTGTGAACACCTGCATGCGGGTAGCTGGTGCGCGGAAAGCATGAAGAGAAGCGTATGCATAATTATTATTCAGGTATTTAAATGTGGCTGGGTGTCTACGGGGCTCTGGTGGAAAGTGCATAGCTCTAAGAGGGTAGGTCTACGAGCTGCTGAACCACAGCAACGCGTCTTTATCTGTTGCGGGCCTGGGAAGATCAAAACCTATGAAAAGCTTGTTTGAGTATATGAGGTGCACTTTGTACTTGTCCTCTGACCAAGGCAGGTTATTTGTGAATGTGATTTGCTTAGCTTGAGGTGAAATATAAGACTGCCATTTACTGAGCACCAGCTTTCCACGTAGGTTTCGGGCTATTGTACATAACTTACACGAGGCTTTCAAGTTTTTCAGATACGAAATGAACTATATCTCTTACGGGTTAGTTCCGGGATTGCTACAGCTTGCTCTAGCATGGGCCACATAATGCGGTTCGTTGAGCGGCATCGTATATTGCAGCAAGTGCGTGTGCGATCTCGTCTCTGCGAAAGGATCACCTAAAGCATGATTGTGCATTAGTTTGCGTTAGGTTGGAGCCAGGGTAGTTGTATCGAGATCTGGCTTTCTGGCAGCTCGACAAATCTATGCTCTCTGCCAAGGCCGAAACATCCAAGGCACATAGATCCAATATTGCAACGTTTTGTGCGTTTCTTGTTTAATAAGTCACAGAACCTAGTTCCATCTATTGGAAGAGACCGGAGAGTAAATAAAAACGGGGGTGGAGCCGCATGTCGTATTCGACGGCTCAAGTCTGGGCATATCTACAAAAGCCGTACCGGCTACAAAAGATAAAAAAATATCGAATCCTTTTCAATAAGATTGCTGAAACTGCTGTGGATATCCAAGGGCGCCTACTTTTTTCTCCATCTCGGGGGGGTACGATGATTTAGCAATTCCCGCTTGTTCCAATTTACTTCGTATGTGACGTTATACTACCGGCGTTGATGCCGTACATGTATTCCTGCGAGTATGGAACAAGGTCAAAGGATATTTCAAGGATGTAGACTTGTTAGACGACATCTAATAATACTCCACACAGAGCTGGAACAATACCAATCCCTAGCCATTTTGTTTCCCTTAACGGTTCGATTTTTGCAAGTTTCTGTCTATTGTAAGACCTTTAGAGATGATGCTGACACGAGAGATCCTTTTATCGATTTCCTCACAGAGCTCAGGTCGAAAAGCAGATGTGTATGACACCACTTAACCTGAAAGTGGCTTAACTTGTGTGAAGGAGCTCCACGAAGTTTAGGTCCCTAGTAGTATGTCTTTAGTGATATACCTTTTTTTGGCTCCAGGTCCATAATCTGCGTGGTACAAATATATACCCTCCTGCTCGGCCGTTCACTATGTCCATACCCTGAGCAATACTATTATATACCCTCCTGCTCGGGCATCTACAATAGTGCATGTGCATAGTGCATGCATGTGCAGGTGAAATGCATCTTGACGGAGATTTTTTCTTGGCGCTCTATCGTTTCTCTAACTGTAATTATATCAGTGACCACAACATCCGAATCTTTCGTATAGTTGCTACTTTGGCCTAAACCATTCTGGCACAACTTTGACCTCGGGATCGCCGGTATTACACGTGCAAATCCCTAGGAGCAAATGGCCCCATATACTGCATGCTGTCAAGACTTGGTCTTACCATTGGCAATTGCCACGATTCTCGTTTATACGGCGCCATTCAGGTCGCTGTAATTCCATGTTAGGATTGCACTAACCTCTATCGGTGATGCCGTTTTGGTAGATGGCTGTATCAATATGTGATGTCAAAAGGGAAAATCCTCTCAGCGAGAAATAACGGACTCTGTATACAGTCCAAAACTCACTGTTAGTTACTCTGAAATCTTCACGTCGAGTTCTAGTCTCTAAATGTGTGATGGCGCGGAACTGTGTTTATTTGTCATCCGAAGGTATCTGTACCCTGTAAAAGCCATATCTTGGATTGTGAGCAAGCTCCCAAAACCTTAACTTGGACATGCCAGGGCAGCCCACCCTGGACAGATCTAATTTAAGCCAGCGGGCTTCCTTATGCGCATGCATTGTAACGGGGTACTCATCTCCGTCCGAGCTCTGTTCATTTTCCGAACCGGACGCTTGTCAAGCGCCATCAAAGTGCCACGATCAAGAATTATCTGCTATCTTTGTTCCGGTAATCACCTCAACTATTGGTGCATTGCTGACCTCAACGATCTCCCATCCTCAGACTGCAAATTGGATGCTACGGGTGTCTCGGAAGTATTCGAGTTAACTGCAAGATTTCAGAGTTATACTGTAACTAAAGCCACTTTTCTTGTAAATCTCCGTGATTAGCACTCACTAATGTAATCCGTTGCAAGAAAAGGTCTCTCTGTCAATCCCCAGGCAGACGTCTATCGAACAAAAATCACATGTCAGAGGAAGAGGAATTACACAAAAAGGCGCATATTCAAAAGTGACAAAAGTCAAAAATAGGGGGTATATAAGAAAATAAAGTTGGGAAACAAAGCTGTACCTCGAAGGATATGATAAAAGCGCTAAACACGAAAAAAAAAACTGCGCTGAATACAAAAATAAGCTGAGGGAGGGTGAAGGCTTATCTGAGCGGGCGGTAAAAGACCTGGATCATACGGGAGAGGCCTGTTAGGTCTCAATTACAAGACCATCAAGGCCATTCCTATAACCCCCGCGAGTTTGGCAACACCAATTGAGTGAGAGCTGGCGCCACCTTCGTACGTGCTGAAAATTGGGTTATATGTAACGGAGGGAGTGGCAGAAGGAGCGGCAGAAGTAACAGATGCTGGAATTGGCACTGGCGCGATAGCGGTGATAATTGCAGTGACACCGGCAGCCGAAGGGAGAGAAGATGTGGATGCAGCTTCAACCATTGGGTTGGCAGAAACCGGTGTTTGGACTGACACCGGCGCGATAGCGGTGGTAATTGCAGCACCAGCAGCCGAAGGGAGAGAAGGTGTAGACGCAGCTTCAACCATTGAGTTGGCGGAAACAGGTGTTTGGACTGATACCGGCACGATAGCGGTGGTGACTGCAGCACCAGCCGCCGAAGGGAGAGAAGACGTGGGTGCAGCTTCAACCATTGAATTGGCGGAAACAGATGCCGGCACTCCAGCAACGGGGGTGGAAACGATTGTTTCCCCTTCGGTAGCCGGTGCGGAAGGCACTGAAACAAATACAGTGGACATAACCATAGTAGTGAGAGTCTCGTACAGCTGAATGTCTGCAACGGAAGAGGCCAACGGTTGAGTTTCTGTAGCGGCAGAGGCCAACGGTTGAGTAGCGGAGGTGGCAGCTTCGCCGTTCTCACTGGTGGTCAGCATGACACTGAGAGTGATAGGTGGTACAAGAATAGTGGTACCTTGACTAGTCAATGGACAGTAGGTAGTGTATTCAGTGACGACACCTTCAACGGTGGTGGTGATGGTAGTGACACCGGTGGTGACAGCGGTAGTGGCACAGGCGTTGTCAGAGCAGGAGGTGATCGTAATGACGGTAGTCGTTTGTTCTTCGATAGTAGAGGTGGATACATCGATCAATGGACAGTAGGTGGTGTAAATAGTTTCGACATTCTCGATGGTAGTGGTGATGACAGTAGCACCAGTGACAATAGCGGTAGTGATACAGGCATTATCAGAACAGGAAGTGATTGTAACGACAGTCGTGGATTGTTCTTCGATAGTAGAGGTGGACACATCGATCAATGGACAGTAGGTGGTGTAAATAGTTTCGACGTTCTCGATGGTAGTGGTGATGACAGTAGCACCAGTGATAATAGCGGTAGTGATACAGGCATTATCAGAACAAGAAGTGATTGTAACGACGGTCGTGGATTGCTTAACGATGGTAGAAGTAGATGTATTGGTCAATGGGGTGGCACAAGCGTTGTTAGAGCAGGAAACGACCGTGATAACAGTGGAGGGATGCTCGCTTACCGTAACTGTGGTAATGACAGTAACATCAGGGGTAGAAGAGGTGTTAGAAGCAGAAGCAACAGATGAAGCAGCAGATGAAGCGACAACAGATGAAACAGATGCCTGAGCGGAGGAAATGGCAGAAGATATAGCGGAGGCAACAGCAGACGATGAAGCCACAGTGGATGGAGCACAGCTAGCAGCACCGCTAGCCAATTCGGCCGACAATCTGCTGGAGTAGAATGG